GTCGTTAAACAGACCATGGCAATATGGTACATGAATCGTGACGTGATAGCGCGATAGGGAAAAGAACAACTCGAGATGGACTTGCGCAACGCCTCCCAAAAACTCGAAGAGCCAAACGGTGAAACAATCTTTTCTAAACTCAATTATCGACCACACCAAAAGGCGTGAATGTTACCAGAATCTTGCTAATCAATGAGAAATCTTGACTCTTGAGAAGATCTTATGCTGACATCATAATCTAACGAAACAACCAAACTTTGAATATGAACTGAACGATCGATCAAATAACTGACGCTAAAAAAATATGAAAACTTAAATATTGGTAGTACGCACTATGGGAGTACTCCAACTGTGTCCGTTGGAATCAAACTTAAGAAAGGTCAAAGTATAAGCTTGACAAGCTTATTGTATGTCTTGAACGAAACGTAAATACAAAACTTTTACGATAATATGTTGAACGATACATAAAATTCCATTGGGAATGGCGTGGCCATTCACCTAATCGTGGTCATAAAGCAAATGTGAAACTAATTTGTTGAACTTTGTACTTTAGAAGAATTTTGGGGACGAAATTCATTTAAGGGGGGAAGAAATGTAACGCCTTAGAAACCGATCTAGAAGTTAATCGATAATTAAATAAATAAGAATTATTTCTTTACGACAATATATGCTTTTAAAGAATTAAAAGATATTTTAGAGATTTTAATCGTCTCAATATAACGAGACTAATCTATTTATATTTGTAAATATTTAATTAAAAGACAGATCTGTATTAATTAATCGAAAGAATTAAGAGGTGGAACTAGTAAATGCGTGTTTTTCAAATAATAAACATTATACGATTGGGTAAGGATTGACGGATCGAATCAAACGACGCGAATAGATCTCAATTTGGAGCAATTTGGCCCGAGAAGTGTGTTCTACTCGGACACGTTATTTTAAATTACGGAGTATAAAACCCTAAGAGTATTTAGACTCCCTTATCGCTCCTTCCCCTTCTTCGATTGAGGCCAGTGCCGCAGCCCAACCTCTCTTCTTCGAACGAGGGTTGCGCCAGCGGTGATGCAGCAACGTCCGGCAACCCTCTACTTTTCTGGCGACTGCAATTTTTTCGATGACGTGGGGAGCAGCAGCGAATTCCAATGATTAAACAGCGGCGGTGCTCCGGTGAGTGACCTCCAGCAACCAGAGAAGTCTGGGCCTTGACTGCCGGGCAGCAAGTCGATCCGGCCAGCAAGGGTAGTTTTGACGACCAATTCTAGTGACTGGCTCCGGATGATGTTCTTGGAAATTTAATCAAACCAACGAGGTGAGTACATGGACATCTAACACTAGAATATGCATATATGTTTGAAATTCCATTCATAATTGTTATCGTGGTTGATCTATGTGATTTATCTGTGTAATTGTTAGTTATGGTTTCGGGATTTGTTGTCGTTGAACCAAAAGGGTAGTATGCATGATTTAGGCCGGTGTTGATTTTGGAATTAATGTGTTTGATAATGTTTAGAAGAAAACCCCCTAAATAGGAGTAAAACATATATCATATCCTCAAAATAGGAGTTCAAACTTAAACTCCTCTAAATAGGAATAATTAATTAAATTTTGTTTTGATTTACTCTTCCGCACAAACCACAACACATCCCAACCCTATGCGGTCGAAAAAGTCACCCAGCCCCTTCCCAATCCCATCCTTCTACGATCTCCTTCGTTCTTATCTCAGTTGCTGATGCTGTCAACTTAATCTCAATCCCCTCTCTGCCGCTACCATCTCCTCTATGCGGCAATTATTCCACGGCACTCTCCATCATCTCCTTTTCTCTTAATACACACAATCTCCTTCCACCCTCTCCACCATTTCTATTTTTCATGCCTCGAATGCCTCCATCCCCTTGGGTAAGTTTGAATTCAATTTGATATTTAATTTGACATAAGTAGTTAAATTCAATTTTAAATCTAAAAATTTACTTTTTCGTGAATTATTTTGTAAAATTGATACTAATTCTTTTAGCCTTGCGTCAGTTTGAAACTTTTAATCAATTTTATATTCAATTTCAAATAGATTTTGACATTTGATTTTAAATCTATTTTTACTTCTTACAAAATTATTTTGTAAAACATATAGTGAAACAGAATGATTATTGTGTTGGCAAATAGAGTTTCTTGATGTTTAACTTTTTTGAGATTATGCATTAACATATGTCTTATATGTAAAATTATACATTGACATATCTGTCATTATACATTGCCAAGTGTGGCACTATGTATTGTCATATTTAGCATTATCTCTTGGTTTAGCATTATGCATTTGCATGGATGACTTTATACAATGACATGATTGTCATTATGCGGTTACATGTGGCGTTAAATGCGGTCTTGTTTGACACTGTATAGACATTTTACTGTAGTTATTTACTGAGTTTCTATTTATTGCTTAAGAATTTTGACATATATCTACAAGGTATTAATCAGGTCTCATATATTTATTGATTAAGAATTTTGGCATTAAGTGTGGTCTTGTTTGACACTCTATGAGCCCGAGGCAACACTTAAAGGTGATGTTTATCAATATTTTTTCTCTTCCTAAGAATGTCAAATCATCAAATTAGAATATTTTAGCTGTGAATTAGGACATATAAATATTCAAGAGCAGGGTAGAAATAGCCGTATTTGTCTATGGTACTGAGCTTTGGGTGTGATTTTGTTGTTGTACCTTGACGATGTAGTTAAAAGAATCATTTATTGACAATATTTTAAGTTTAGGTAAAAAAATTAGTCGGCTTAATAGTTAGCCGTTATTTTGATAAAAAATAAATATAATGTCCTAATTTATTTTCTGACTCGAACATATAAAATATTTGTAAAGCCAACCTTTTAATTCAAAAAATAAGTAATTGGGTTGATCTCATAAAAAGGTGACTAATAGCATAAAGTTTGTTAAGTTTAGACTTTGGTGTAAAAAGTTATGAGCAAAATAGATGTTATAATTCAATAAATAAATATAAATATTTTATAATATAATAATAATAAATAATCAATTTTCTAATCTATTCTAATTCCTATCCATAACTCAATGCCAAGGCCCAACCCCCCCCTTAACTCCTTAAGTGTGTACACGCATGCAAGAAAAGAGAAAAAACAAAGGAAGAGGCTAAGAGAGCGTGAGAAGAGAGAATTGAGGACAAAAATTAATTAACTACTCCTATTTAGAGGAGTTTAAGTTTTAACTCCTATTTAAGAATATAACATAACTTTTACTCCTAGTTTGGTCCTTCTCCCAATGTTTAGAATGATAATATGAACCGATTGGTGCTTGTTGATTATGAGATTGCTTTTGGTCTGATGCTGAAAGCGAAACAAGTAAGAAGCTGAAAAATTATTGCGTTAGAAGGTAGGCAGTACCGCCGAGACGGTGCCGTGCTACCGTCACACTCTGTATGTTTACATTCTCTCTACCGCTAGCTTTGACCATTCGGTACCTAGGTACCGGACGGACGGTAGGCCCTACCGCCCAGTCAGTAGTTGGCTACCGTGGCAGTCCTATCGGAAGAGCCCAGATGGTTCAGTCAGTACCCCCGGTACCGTAGGACTGGTACCTAGGTACCGTGAGGACGGTACCCCGTACCGTGACAGGTACCATCTAGTAACTGATCTCGAGTCTGCCGATCTGTGTTTGCGTCAAGGAATGATTCCGAGACTCCGTGTGTTACATGACGGGAAACATGGGTGTTTACACCTAGTGTTAGGCCGCTATTTCATTATGTTGGATATCTCGTTGAAATGCATTGTGGATTTATGAATGTGGTATTATGTATTGACTAATGATTGGTAGATATATCACCTAGAAGAACTCTAGGAAATGACCTAAATGGAGTAGTGGCAAGGTATGCCATAAGTATAGTAAGTTAGAGCCATGTGGTAACTGCGGGGTCCAATGGCTGTTCGGGTAAAAATGTGTACACGGGGATCTAAGAAATGTAGTTCCGAAGGGGACAGGGATCTCACCCACCCAACGAGGAACTCCCGAGTTGGTTTGAGCTTGACTTTCATTCTGAAGGGGAAGGTCATGACTCCATAGGCAAGTCGAATTCAGTTAAGCTTTAACCTAGCATAGGTTAAGAGCCAAGTACGCTTAGGAAAGTAAAGCAAATTAAAAAGGAAGGTTCCTAATACATATATCGTTTTTGTTTGTATCATATGAACTGTTATGGGGTTGATTATGCATGTTATATCTTGTATGCCGTATGATTGTTGCCAAGCATGTTGTGTGCATGATATCATGTGATAATTGTGAATTAGTGGATTTGCTTATGTGTATGTTCGAACTGTTAGATATTTTTCACTTAGCTTCATTGCTGAGCGTGTAGCCCACTTATTCGGTCATTCTTTAATCTTGTGGTTTAGCAAGAAGCAGGTTAGTGTTGCACTTTCCACCACCGAAGCAGAATATGTCGCTGCGGGAAATTGTTGTGCCCAAATTCTTTGGCAAAAACAGCAACTAGTGGATTTCGGCCTTATACTTGATCACATCCCAATTACGTGTGACAATATGAGTGCTATTAGTCTAACGAAGAACCCCGTTCTTCACTCGCGGACTAAACACATAGAAATTAGGCATCACTTCATACGAGATCATGTCCAAAAGGGATCGGAGATGTCACAATTGAGTTTGTTGAAACGAAACATCAATTGGTGGACATTTTTACAAAACCCCTTAGTAGGGAGAGTTTATTCCACATTCGGAACGAACTTGGCATTTTGGATATCTCTTCCCTTGGTATCAAATCTGAATTGAACTTGATGATCTTTTTGATTTCTCTGTCAAAAGTCTTTAATCGATTACATCTTCTAAAGAAATCGATTAGACCCCTCTGTGCCATGAAATCGATTAATGGACTTCTCCTTAATCGATTAAATACATCAAGGCGAACTTTTTGAACTTCGCTTCATTTACTAATCGATTAATTCCTTTTTATAAATGATTTATTAAACCTGATCGATTAAATCAACTGTTTTAATCGATTAATATTCGAGGTTCTGTTTAATAAGGTTAGACCGTGTCTTTGTCTTCTTCGCCATCTCAGTTTTACAGAATCTCAGCCGTGTGAAACCCTAGCTCCTCACCTTCGATTTCACCTCCGATTTCATCATCAACCTCATCCATTTCTTCACCAAATTTCATAAACTTCAAAGAGGAAAGATGCCAAGGTGCAAGAACCCTACCTCGTGTCAAGAATCGGCGGCTGAAGATAAGGACCGTCCATGGCGACGTGACAGGAGCAAGTACATTCACATCCAAACTGGTCTCTCCTTCAACACTGGAGCATCGGTCGAGAGATTCTACAACATCTTTATCACGAAGGAGATCATTCCACCGAAGATTATGGACAAGGACCTCTTCAAAACAGCAACCTATGCCCCGAGCAAGTCACTTTTCTCTCAGCAAGGTTTGCTCTGTTTCATTCATTTGACGTATGAATTCTTTTGTCCAAATCTTATACGTCAATTTTACTCAAATCTTTGTACCACTTTGGGAGACTCCCCATCTCTCATCTCCTATGTTGACGGCCAAACCGTTTTTGTTGACGGTGCCGGTTTGACCACTCACTTTGGCCTTCGTAGAGGTGAAATTACCGATAACTTGGATGAAACATTCCAAGATGAGACAATTTGGAAACAACTCGGGTTAGATCATCGTGACCTCAAGTTTAGAAATTCTAGTAACCCGAGTGTCATTAACCTCACTTTGATTCAACGCGTCCAAGAATACATCTTCTCTTATGTTTTGTTGCCCCGTGATTCGAACCATGGCGTTGTCAACAAGGACGACATTCGATTGTTTCACATCCTGTTGAACAATGTCAAATTTGATTGGGTTCATTTCTTTCTCATTGCACTTGGTGATGGTACTCGCTTTTCACATCTTTGTTTTGCCATCCCTATCATGCATATCCTTGCTCACTGCAAAGTGACCTCACTCGGGACACTCGGGTGCCGGTGAAGAAGACTTGTTTCATCAAGGACATCAAGTTCACCGGGACTGTCTTCCGTAAAGAGACAACCGGCGAGCAATATCTGGATTTGGTTGTTGCAGACAAAGAGGAGAGCGAGAACGAAGCAGAGTCGTCTCGTGCCGGAGGAAGTCGAACCACGGGACGCGTCACTCGTCAATGCATGACTCGTCCGAGAGAAGAAGCACCGGAACCTTTTTGGGTGAATACGATCTTTGACACTCTCACGTGCATCCGAGATGACGTTCGCCATCTCAACGAGAGGATGACTCGTTTCGAGCAATCCCGCTCCTTCCATGGCCCGCGTCACAACTTTAGTGGAGGACCTCGTGCGACGCATTCTCTTTGATTCTATTGACGTTGTTTTTGTGATGACTTTTGATACATTGTTAAATGTTATTGTTATTATGACTCTTTTGGTGGATGATGATGTTGCTTTGGATGATGCTAGTTGATGTTACTTGTGTATTGATATCATTGTTGGTTTGGCAATATTGTTCTTTTTTTGGAACATATTGTCCCTTTGTGGCATTTTGTTAGAAGTTCTCTTTTAAAGAAAACTCTTGCAAAATATTTTTACTATCCTTCAAAATCCCGGCATCGTTTAAGGGGGAAGGTTATTGGTTGATAATGCCAAAAGGGGGAAGGAACGATAGTTGAGAAAACATGTTTTTCAAAAACGTTTTTCTGCTTATTACTCCAAAAAATTTTTCCCGCACTTCTCTAACCATGCTGGGGGGATTATTTTAAGGGAAGTATTTCTTGAACTCACCTTTGCTTTTTCTCAACTATGTTTGTCATTATCAAAAAGGGGGAAATTGTTGGACATGAGTTCAAACCCCTTTATTATTTCTAGAATTTTTTGTTCTGATAAATGACAAACAAGATGATGAAATTCAACGATGATCGAAAATTTATTTTTCGTATCAAGATAAGCAAAGAGGCGTATCAAGAAATTTATGACGATAAAAATCAACGCTCACCCCAGATTTTTGAAGTGAAGTGATGACTTTCAACACTTTATTTTATTGAGTCTAGGAATTTTTTGTAAGGATGACAATGACTTTTGCATAAAAAATTAATTTTTGAGGGATAAAAATTATTATATTCTAAGTCAGTTGAAAAATCATTTTTTCTCTGTCTAAAAATATTTTACCGAGTCAATTTCAAAATAGTGTGTCAAATTTTCTTAAAATTTTTTTAAGGATACACAATTTTTTTTGGTAAGAAAAATATTCCTTAAATATTTTTCGTGTACATCGTTTGACACAAAATAAATTATGGACTCATTTTTTACTCCCTTATTCAAATTCATTGAATAAAGAGGAGGAGCGCTTCTTGATTCTCGTTGTCTCAAACAACGAGTGTTAAGCCAATTTTCTCTCAATCAGACCTGGCCTTGGGCCCTTTGTGTTTGCGCATTATTTTTTTATCAACCGATTAACATTTCTACATTAATCGATTGGATTTAGTTCATTTTTCAAGCGCATTCACCTAATCGATTAAACCATTTGTGTTTAATTGATTTGTTGTTTTTTATTAGCGTTGGATTACTCAGGTCTCTAGTTTAATCGATTTTTCTTCTTCCCTTTAATCGATTAACTCTCACAGCGCCGTCTAGTCGATTTTCTTATCCATCTTAATCGATTATTTACAAAAGACTTTTCAGCCTTCGAAATCGATTACACTCTCTATGTTAATCGATTTATATTACCTGGTGCCAATTCTCAGTATCTTTCATTGCCTCCAACGGTTCTATTTCCTACAACCTATTTAATCACACATTCTCCATTTTTAACACAACTCTTGCACTCCAAAACCTCCATTGATTCATATTCAATTCTTCCTTTCATCTTCCTCATCAAAATATTATTTTGAGAGTTAGAAATATTTTCATTGAGTGCTAAAGATATTGTCATCCATAGAGCTTTAATCTTTCAAACACTACTTGCTCAATTGTGTGAGCTTTCATTCTTGTGTTGTAAACTCAATCTTTTGAGTGTTGCTAAGACTTGTGTGATTCAAGTCTTGTTGTTGTTAAGACTTGTGTGACTCAAGTCTTGTTGTAAGAAGTTGAGGCTTGTGTGATTCAAGTTCTCGAGTTGTATCAGTTTTTCAAGCACCCGTTGAAGCTTGAAGTTTACTAGAACCTTTGAGAGAGTCTCTCGGAGGACTGGACTAGCCACGAGGTGGTGAACCAATATAAATCACGGTGTACACCTTTCCCTTGCTCTTTACATTTTTCCTGCGATTCTTTTTAATTATCACACACGCGATTTACGCACATTCTAGCGAACAACTCTATTCACCCACCTCTAGAGTTGCACTTTTGTCTAACATTACCCTTCTATTATTCATTTTCGCTTGTAGTATAGTTGTAGTAGTTAGTTTTAAATTATTTTCGGAGAATTCAACACTGGATCTGTTCTGTTTCGCTCTAACGGAGGTTGTAATTTTATCCAATTTAATGTAATGTTATTTTAATTATTTTGCATGGTATGAGTTAGGGTCTGGACCTCTGGGTCCTGACTAATTTGGTTGTATACTTTGAATGTTTAGTTAATGTTGGAATGGTTAGTCTATTGTTCTTGCTATATTTAGTTTATTAATATAAAAAGATATAATTATCTATTTATTGAGGAAATATTATATGTCGAAAGGCTATCATATTCAAGGCAACAGATTAAGTAGAAGACCTATAGGTATGTAATAATAGAAATATTATTATTCCAATTATTAATTAAATATGACAAAGTAGATCCAAATGATGTCTTGATCCTAGGTCTAGAGTCTAGACCTTGCTTATACTATGTGAATAAATTTACTTTCATTATTTCTCTCTTGTAATATTGTTCCGAGAAGACTTTCATAAAACTTATCCTAACCATCGCCTAATTAGAGAAATTAATTAATTTCCTTCGTCCACTCCTCGAGATCAGAGACCTGACACTCGGAGAGAAAACTAACCCTTTACTCGGAAGATTTAGTACCTGAAAAACTACGATTATCAAGGTTCAAGGAAGACACAACCGCCGATTTGACAACAAAGGATGAGTAAGAAAGTTATAGTAAATTACGTAAATTACTACCTATAGTATGAAAGTTACCTTAACGGTCGGGAACGTTTTGAGGAGATGAACGTAGCGCCAAATGTATGAAGCCTCCAACGTATCCACACAAACTTGTTCTGGAGTCCTAGATTAAACTTGTGCTAGCAAGTTTAATATAGGATAGTAAAACTATAAAATTACTACTTTAGGGAGTAATAAATATATAGTAATAATATTTATCTTATAAATATTTCTTTATAATATTATGTGTATATTTCTAACACTTTAGAAAAATGACTTTGAACACAAAATAAATTTTTCTACTCTCTTGCTTGATATGGCCGAAATTGATATGTTTTAAAATGGGGAGGGATTTTATTTGATATTATAATACATAAGTTAATGTAAAGACGCATGAAGCTTCCTTGAGACATTAAGGTGTGATAAAGAGGTTATCAAATACTCTGTATTATGTCTCTAACCACCATAACAAAACAATATAGAATCCCTATATCAAATAATAATCAAATACTCCCTCTGTCCTACATAGATCTTTCCAATAGTCCTTTTTCTTTGTTCACAATAGATCTTCTCATTTCATTTTTTAATAATTAAAATATATACCACAACTACATCCACTTACTTTATTTATTACACCTCACCACATTACACTACAAAGCTCACCAATGGCCAGTGCAAAGCTAACCTGGAAATAACGCAAAACTCACCACTTTGAACACCTAATATATATAAATACATACTGTTTGCAATAAATGGTTCCCCGTGCATGTAGAGTATGTAGAGGGAATGATGAGAATGGGGTCGCACACAGAATTACAGATACAGGCCGTGAGGGGCGCATGAGGTAGCAGAGAATTAAGAGATCATCATTGCAATGGACAATCTGTTAGGTGTTCTTAAAGTCCGTATCAAACGAGGCGTCAACCTCGCCGTCCGCGATGTCCGGACCAGCGATCCTTACGTTGTTGTCAAGATGGGCAAACAGGTTCGCCGTCCCGCCCTATTACCTCCGTTGATTCTGTGTTTTTTTCGATTACAATGTTGATTTCATTTCGTCATTGACCCTTTCTATTTTGGGGACGAGTTTGAATTGGTAATCTCTAGGCTTCCTTTTTTTCATAAAGAAATTGAGAATGAGTGAGATGGAAATTTACTACGTTTTGTTAATTAACCTGCCATAGATTATTTTATGTCTTGTTCAATGTTTAAGAGAGCCAAGAATTGCTTCTAAAAGTGAAGTATATTTACAATTTTTATTAATTATTCGTGTAGCTCATATTTTTGTGGTGTGCTTTTAGTGAAATGTTCTTTTTTGTATGTTCACGCAGAAGCTGAAAACCCGTGTTATAGAAAAGGATGTCAATCCTGTGTGGAATGAAGATCTTACCCTTTCGGTTTCTGATCCTAACATTCCCATTAAGCTGGTAAACTTTATGAAATACTTCGTACCTACTCCCTCTTTTTCTATTTTGACTTTTAGAATAAATAAGGATTGTTTATTTGTGGTTGACGTTTAAATTTTATCATTGATGTAATTGGTAAAAGTAAGATGTGATGAATTACTTATTAATAAAAAATATGAAGTGATAGGTAAGGTAGAAAAAGTAGGGATAAAAATTATTTTTAATAGAAAGTGAAAGTGTTTTGATGAAAATAAAAAAATAAAAGAAAAAGTGTTTCAAATAACAAATTAAAGAAGTACTCCCTCCGTCCCAGAAAACCTTTCTCCTTTCTTTTTTCATCCGTCCCAAAAAACACTTCTCATTTCTATTAAAAAGTCACTTTTACCCCTTATTTTTTCATATCCTACCTATCAAATCATACCTTTTTACTAATAATATATCCATCAAATCATACTTTTACTTTTACCCATCACATCAAAGGACATTTTTGGAAATTCAATACCAAAATACACTCCCCTTAAATCCCCCTTCAAAATCAAACTCACATGTTTTCCGGGACGGAGGGAGTATTATTTTTGGTAAATGAGAAAGTTGCTCTGCTTACCACTCTCATCAGTTACATGTAGAGGATATGGAAAATTGCTCCATTTCTTCCCCCATCATTCCTCCTACACCATATTTCCGTGATCAATGTAAAATGTCAAAGAATAATAATAATTTAATGGAGTAAATTTCTTTAATGGTACCTGAACTTTCCATGGAATTTCGAAATGGTATCTGAACTTTAAATCCTTTCACAAAAGTACCTGAACTTACATAATCTTTTCCCTAAAAGTTCATTTACCCGTTTCCAGGTTAACTTCCGGTCATTTAGGCTAAATTAGAATTTTATATATTTTAAAATTTTCAATTTGACACCATATCTTTTCTTCTTCTTTCACCCCTTTCTTCTTCTTCTTCTTTACCAGCGGCAATTGAACTNGAACTCCAAATCAGAATTCAGTCCATTCCGGAAAGTATTGCCTTCCAGGAGAATTCTTATAATCCGGTTTAATTTAAACAAACAAAAAAACACTTTCAATTTCAAATCTAAAAATGAAAAAAATACACGGGAAGTTAACCTGGAAACAGGAAAATGGACTTTTAGTTAAACGATTATGTAAGTTCAGGTACTTTTGTGAAATGATTTAAAGTTGAACTATCACTTCGAAATTCCAGTAAAAGTTCAAGTACCATTACTAAAATTTACCCTAATTTAATGACTTAATTTTTTTAAAACTGCTTATATTATTTCTTGTTGAGATATAAATTACTCCATATAATAACCTAGAACTTACTCTGTATAATAAAGTACTTGATCCTTCTGTCAATTTTTAGTTGTTGGAAGTTTCCATTTTCGGATGTCTGGAATTAAATACACACTCACTACATTTAGTAGAGTAATAGAGAAATGCTTGGTTCAAAAATACAATTAGACTTGTCAATGGATCGTCTATACACCTGAACCCGTATATTCGCACCCAAGACCCGACCCTGATCAGACACAAAAGAAAACAACCACGAGAGGCAGGAGCAGCACATGCCAAGAATTTGGAGCCGAATAGGGACCTGACCGGTGGTGGAGAAAACCACCCGGGTGGTTGGGTATCCACCGCACTTCAGATCTTCAAGCCAATAATTCGAGAAACCACCCAGGTGGTTCAGCATGGTGGAAGATAGCGATGTGGATGTAATTTGATCTGACAAGATTCCTCTGCTCCAACGGACATATTGGGGGATCCCAACTGAACGCTACGCGCCAAAAAGGGACTTTCGCAAGGGGAGAGCCCCAAGGAACAAGAGACAAACACTACGAGCCAAAAGAGGAAGCAAGACTTACACCGTGTCATGTGCCAGAAACGTGGTCAGGCATAGGTGTGTGCCACCTTGCCTCCTAATCCCACTATAAATAAATTTGTAACCCTCGGTAGAAGGGATCCAAATTTATCTCCCTAGTGAACATTGTGTAATTCCTCCATGTACTCTTCCCACACTTAATTACAATTTGACTTTAGGTGTTCACACCTACAGTCCTCTCGGTGAATCTTCATCTCGTGAAACCTTTTAGCATCTAAACACAGTAAACCACCCTAGACCCGGTCTAGAGTAGTTTACCTGGGTTGTAATTTAAACCATCATTTTTGGTGCCCACCGTGGGGCCGTAAGGGTTTTTCCTTTTCTTTATAGAAAACTTACTCACAAAACACCACATACCCAAAATGTCTACGAGCCTGCAAAATGTCAATTTCAACTCTGTTCAGGGGCATGCCGCCACCGAGGCAGTGGTCGTGTTGCTCACCTCAGCCTAGACCCCTTCTGTTGCGGTGGTTCTGTTAGGTCTGAGCCAGGTCACGGCTCCCTCCATCACCACACCATTTGTCGGACAGATGGTTTCATTCCCTTTTCCATCGGCAAGCCCAAGGGTAACCTTTCCACCAAGCATGCCTTGAAGGCGATCTAGGGTTTAGCCAAGTGATGGTTGTGTGCCAGCAGGCGGGAGGAATGCCTTGCCTCTCAAGGATGTTTCCTTTTACGCTATCCGGCACATGCAGGTACTAGTGCAGGCTCCCATGACGACGACACCTCTTGTCCCCTCACCGATGTAGTATCGTTCTACTTTCCAGTCGCAAGTGGTTAGCGCGTTGACCGTTGTGGAACCATGACGTCACCCACAGAGCACCCCCCATGTTAGTGCATTTTCCCTGTTGGGTGAGGGGAGGTAGGACGAGCCTGCTTGTTCCCAGCGCACAAGGTTGATTAGGGGGGAGCCAGCCCACTCCTGTGTGTCGCGCGCCAGGGGAGGAAGCAGAGAGCCAACCGCGTGAACCCGCACGAAGTAGGCTGGGGAATCCCCCCTGATCGGGTCTAACAAGTAAAGGCGAAGCTGGAAAGGCTGGAAAGAAAAGTGGAAGAAAAGAACAACACGCAAAAGCAACGATTGGTGGACTCGATGTTCACCGCAAGGATCCATCAAATGCTTTTTCCCTGGAAGGTGAAGATGGAAAACCTGAAATTCACGGGTAAGGAGGACTGTGAAGTACATCTCAATTCCTTCCACCAGAGTGCCACAATGATGGGATGTATCGGTGAGGAAGAATGCATCCTCTTTTTCCAGTCACTACGTGGGGAAGCGGCAAAGTGGTTCAACAAGCTTCCGTCGGGCAAGATTGACTCCTTTGATGAGCTAGCCACCAAATTTAAGGCCACGTTTAAGGAAAACTTTACCAAGAGGAAGAAGTTCACCTACCTGAGCACTGCCAGGTAGCGGGAGTCAGAGAATCTCACTCAGTTCTTGACAAGGTGGACGGACAAGGTTGAAGGGGTCGAAGGGATGGATGACAACACGGCATTGTTGCTCTTGTTGAGTGTCCTCTGGGCTTGAGCGCTATACAAGGAATTCTGCAGGAGACCACCCAACACCTACCAGGAGGCGTATCATACAGCCTTGGAGCTCGCGGAAGCCGAAACCCAGGACCATCACAGAGTGAAGCCTGTCCAGGTCAAGAAGGAGGTGCTATTTGGTGTTAGTTGTTGTGCCCACGCCTTATGTGTTCGATACAAATGGTGTTGGCAAATGCGGAAGCAATATATAAAACGCAGAAATAAAAGCGTAAATAAAATGCACACTGATTTTATACCGGTTCAGAAACTCCCTATTCTTGTGCCTCGAGCCTCCTCCTCGAGGATTTCCGAATCCACTAAGTCCCGGTGTCTTGAACTTCGTCAAAGCACCGCACTAGTTTGGCAAACAACCTTTGCAAATAGGATTCACTCCAAGATTTCACAACGGCTATCTCGAACCATTTACAACGAAGATTTAACGGCTATCTTCTACTGTTCCCCCAAGGATTTTCAAGGCTATCCTTGAAGCTTTACCCAAGGATTTATGCAGTTGTCCTTAACCGTTACAATGTGATAATTTTGCGGCTATTCTTGACCGTAAAATATGTGTTGGAAGAACACAATAAAAGTTTCTACACAACGGCTAGATTATAAAAATGAAGAACAAAACATAGCTGGTGTAGAAGGAAATTATACTCTCTTAAAAATACAATTAAAACTTATTAATATGAGAGTATATAACTAGAAACACAAGCTCAAAGTGTGTGTATAAAAAGCAGGAATTTAAGGCTCTTGAAATAGCCAAAATATTGAAAATAATAAATAAAAGAATGAACACACTTATAATATATAGGGAGGATATTTGGAGCTTTGTTTCTTGATAGAAAATGAAGGATTAGGCTTGTATTTATAGTGGAAGATGTGAAATAGCCATGGGGAGGTGAATAGGGTTAACACTAACCCAAAGGTCACGGTAGGCCAGTACCGTCCTCACGGTAGCATGGTACCGTGCGTACGGTAGGGGTACTGTGAGTGGCGGTACATCGGTAACGTGTAACTTCAAGAATTAATCCAGCTCTGGTGGAACCTGACCCCTAACGGTAGAGGGGTACCATGCCGGCGGTATACCCTACCGTGTAGGCGGTATAGGGTACCGTTTGGGGTACCGTGGCTCTGTTCAGGTTTTTCCAAAATTCCCTTAATCCTTCTCGTTTGTGTTTAAAACCTTTTGGATATTTGAAAATGTTAATGAGATGGTTTTAAACATATTTTGTGAGTGCTCTTGAGCTTGTGAATATAGGTATATAAAGTCATATCCTTACATTGGTTTCTACCTATATTCTACGCTAGTTTAGTGTTTCGACTTCATTCTTGAGAACTGAATCTTAATGGATTCTTGTTGTACATGAAACTCTAAAACAAATGTTAAGCTCTTTATTTGTTTGTTAACATCAAAACACGAGGCTTAGCAAACCAAGGCTAATGAGGCTCTAGGGTCAAATAGCCCCAAGCCCCAGTATGACCTGGTCGTAAATGAGGTCAGGGCGAAGGAGTGCAGGGAAGTCCGGCGTGCTCCCAGGAAGGCTGAGGGCCATGCCCGTGTATGGTCACATAAAAATTGCTCGTACCATAAGACAGAGTCCCATAACACCTCCGAGTGCAAGAACGTCAATGGCGCAATCAGGAAGATTATCTACATCGGAGAGTAGGATGATGAGTATCTACGTAAGGAACAAGATAAGAACCACCAGTGGGTCAGACCCCAGGGAAGAAAGGACGACTGGACAAGAGAAGGAAGTACGATAGTAACAAGGAGCGGCGGCCACCCAGAGAGAGGGAGCATATTGGGATGATCGTGGGTGGCCCCGAAGGGGGCGATTTTGACGCAGAGCGGAAGAACTGGGTCTGGAGCTTGTACATCGGGGTAGTGTCTACACGTTGCCGGGAGATGCAAACTAGGAGGGAGCCAATCACGTTCACCGAGTGTGACCTACCAAGTACATGGGATGACCACAACGACCCGCTGGTCATCACCATGGACATCAACAGGTAGACGTGGCTCGGGTTCTGATTGACACGGGCAGCAGTATCAACATCTTGTACTTGGAAACTTTTTAGAAGCTCAAGTTGTGTCGAACACAACTCGAGCACCTAAAGACGCTGCTCTTTGGTTTCACCGCTCTAGAAGAAGATGTGATTCATTATTGCGGACATCAAATGTGTCCACAGCACAATACTAGGGAAACCGGGCATAAAAAAAACCCGAGGCGTCATCTCAATGGCATATCTATGCATGAAATTCTACACCCCAAGTGGTGTGGGTAAAGTTTGTTGAGATCAAAGGAATTCCCGAGAGTGCTATGCACGGGCCGTAAAAAAGATTACGAAGGGCATGAACATCTTCACCAAGGAGGTTACAAAATGAGAGACCCAGGAGAGGATAAAACTGGAGGCTGAAATGGTGGAGGTCAAACTCCACCCGGGTGACATGGAGAGGATTGTGAGGATATGCGCCAACCTGCCCCTAAAGCTACGCGAAGAGATCCCCCTAGTGCTTTAAGAGTACGCCGACATTTTTTCTTGGAGCATGGCGGACATGCTTGGGATATACCGTTCCGTCATCTGTCACCGGTTGAAAGTTATGGTAGGGTCACGACCGGTCAAGCAAAAGAAACGGTACTTGGCTAGCGAATGCAGGGAGTTTGCGAAGAAAGAGGTTAGTGACCTTCTTGGCGTGAGTCACATCAGAGAGGTTAGGTACCCATAGTGGATGGCAAACATGCTGCTAGCCCCCAAAGGCGACACATGAAGGATGTGCATAGATTACACAAAACTCAATAAGGCTTGCCCCATGGATTCTTACCCCCTCACAAACCTGGATCAAATGGTGGACGAAACCGCCGGGTGTGAGCTATTGAGATTCATGGACGCTTTCAAGAGCTATCACGAGATCTACATGGCCAAGGAAGACAAAGGGAAGACATCTTACCTCACGCCCGATGGGACCTATTGGTACCAGGTCATGGCTTTTGGGTTGAAGAACTCGGGGGCAACATACGAGCGCATTGTCAACAAACATTTCAAGCCGCTCTTGGGAAAGACCATGGAGGCGTATGTGGATGACATGCTGATCAAGAGCCACCAGTCAAGAGACCATGCAGCTGATATGATGAAGAAATTCGGGATCATGGCTAGGTATAACCTTCGATTTAACCCTAAGAAGTGTAGTTGTCCGAACTGGGAAGCTCTTGCGGTTCATGGTGACGAAAAGGGGGATTAAGCCCAACCTTGAGGAGATCAGCGCTATCACAAAGAAGCAGGTCCCAACCTCGATTGAGAATGTGCAGAAGCTGCCTTTGCATGTGATGAGGAGTGTCAGAAGGCTTTCAAAGACTTGAAGGCTTACCTGGTGTTTGAAATCGTGTTGTTCAAGCTAGAGCCTGGCGAGACTTTGTATTTGTATCTGGGAATTTCCCCCTATGCTGCAAGTTATATTTTAATAAAATATATATGATGGGGCGCAATAGCGTATTTATTATGTAAGCAAAGAACTTAACGGATCCAAAATTCATTACACAACCATAAAAAATAGCGTATGCACTTTTCATTACTGCCAAAAAACTAACATCATATTTCCAAGCCCACGCTATCGAAGTCCTTATGGACAAACCTCTGTCCCTGTTTTGTGGAATTCGACATCCTCCAAGAGGATGGTCAAATGGGCAATGATGCTAACTGACGAAGCTAGATATTGCGGTAAGTCAATGAAATTAACCGAGACTAACTCGAGTCGTTTCACAAGGATTGGCGAAAGGAAGTATTTGTTAATTATCTTAATATTTTACTTCAAAACAATTAATTTAGAGCAATCAATTTCAAAGCAATAGCAGTAATATGATTAATCCAATCAATAATTTAGAAATAGGTATGAATCGAACAGGTGTATGGGCTAAGGTAATAATTGTTAGAAAAACGTCCCAATGCTAGAGGGGGGGTGAATAGCGTTTGATACGAAAAACGACGCAGGAATAAAAATAAAAAGCGTAAAGCAAAGAGCAAGGAAGAGGCACACCGTTTTTACCCTGGTTCACCACAACTTGTGGCTAGTCCAGCCTCCCGAGAGACTCTCTCGAGCTACACTACTATCTCGTTAAGCTTAACGATGCTTAACAAACCCGTACAACTTGAGAGTTCGAGACACACGAACCTCAACGAATCTTCAAAGGAAACAACCCTTCCTTCGAACAACAAGAGAAATATTTTCTCTTGTCAAGTGTCTAAGAACACTAAATCACTCAAGAACTAAACTCTCTTTTAGAGTGGATAATGAGTAACTAAGAACGCTCAAGAACGCAACACAAGCTTCACAAAAATGGCTCTCAAAAAGCTATGAATAAAGAATGGATGATTTGAAATGAAAGAGTAGGAGTTGTGAAGTAATGTGATATGTAAAACAGACCCAAACACCCCATTTTATAGTGGAAAAATAGGCTCCAACGAACCAAAACTTTTAAGGGGTGTTGGCACAATTTGTGGGATTTGATTAAATTTGGATCTGCTGAAATTCACCCAGACAGCGCTGTCCTAGGCTTGGATATCGCTGTTCTAGGCTTGGGTTTTGAAAATTGGGAAGCAACGGTCATGCCAACAGTGATGTCCAATACTCCTACATCGCTGTTTTGGCTGTTGACTTCCAAACAAGGAAAGTTTTAGCCTTAAATTCCTTCCAACGGTCAGGTCCCTACATCGATGTTCAATACTTGAACATCGCTGTTTAGGTCTGACTTTGAAGGTGGAAGTTTGGCCTGACAGCGCTATTGCTGGGTCAACATCGCTGTCCAAAAACTTTCTGCCAATGCACTATATTTTTGGCTTAGGTTTAGACAGCGGTGTAGGAAAGGTTACATCGCTGTTCCAGATGTTTCTGGAAACCAACCTTGGCTCAACAGCGATGTCTAACATCCAACATCGCTGTTGGAAGACTTAACGCCAAACCATGGTTTTCAGCTACCCAATCCAGACAGCGCTGTTGGTTGCACCAACATCGCTGTTGGGCTGGTTTAGCCAGACCCATGATTGGTTTAGTCAGACGTTAGCCGATGTCAAAAATGTAAGTTCTCAAAAATAAAAACCAAGTATTGAAAATGTTTGTTTAATGCATTTTGCTAATAAATCAAGTAAAACATTTTGAAAACCACGTCATTTAGTTGAAAACCACGGCTAGCCAAGTTTACGCCGTTTCGCATGGTTTTCACTAAACGACCAAAAACGAAAGGTGGTTTTTGAAGCGTTTTTGTTGGAGAACTATTTAAATATGCCCAGAAGTAAAAACCAATCATTAAAAGTTGAAAACCACTTGGTTGGTTCGAACGCCAAAAACCAACTCCGATAACCGAAAGCCGAACGCCGGTTTCCGAAGACCGAACGCCGGATGGCTTGGTTTTTGGTTTGGGCGAACTCCAAGTGTTTTCAGGCAGGTTTAAGACTTAATAAAACCATTTTGAATATGCAAAAAGTATTTTGATGAAATGAGCCTAGAGAGCCTTGTTTTGAAAGTTTGTGCCGGTCTTGATCACATTAAAACCGACTCAATATAATTCTAAGTCTTCGTTCTTGATTCTTGGTTCTTGGTTCTTAGTTCATCATGCCATGTTCCTTCGCATTGGTTTTGCTCAGTTTAAACTTGTTATTGTCACGGCGGTTTGGCATTATCAAAACCTGTCATAAAACGAACACGGCTTAGTACGACATAGGCGTAAACCCGTGTTCCAACAATAATTTTGGAGTAAATTAACTTCTTAATTAATTTGATTTCATATCATTAACTTATCCGTTTTTCAAGCCTCATTAATGTGTCTAAATATGGTTGGCTAGATTATTTTTCTTAACTCATAGACAAGCTAGACTAATAATCTCCAAAGATTAATTAATAAATTGGCCAGATCTATTAATTAGTGAATCTCATTTTAGACAAATGAATCAAATTAATCAAGTTACTAACTTAATCTTAATTGCTAATCATTAGCCCATACCCTTAATTCAATTCATACCTTAGTATAAATTTAGCCACTAAAAGCCATAAGTACACAATTTAAACTAATCAATAAAATATAAAGTGTACAAGAAAGCTTACAGATCTTGAAGAACAGAATACAAATCACACAAATCTTCAAATCAACACTCTAAGATGTTTAGGAAGAACTCTCAAACTCAATAAAGGTGAAAAAGTGGAATTTTTGGGGTGATGGTGAAGGAAATGACCGTGTGGGGTATTTATACCCGAGCAGACCGCACAGGCGGGCAGACAGGCGGCCGCCTGTCAGCCCGCCACCGCCAATATGGGAAGCTTCTAGATCGGCGATACTTCGAGAACAACGACAGGCGGGCACGCAGGCGGCCGCCTGCTAGCCCGCCGGAGCCAATTTTCCCCGTCTGCGCTTGTGTTCGCCGCCGGAGCCAACCCTCGCCGTTTGCTGATGCTTGGCAGGCGGCTGCCTGCCTGGTCGCCTGTCGTGCACTCGGCTCCTAAACTCATATTTTGCTTCAAAATTGATTCTGAACACCTTTCTCTCTTGCTCCAACTTCCAATTCCATTCCAAGAGGAAAATATTACTAATTTCTTGTTGAAATCAAACATATTTTTATTTTTCTTGGCCCATTCAAATTTACTACTCAAAAATATAGAAATATGACTTTTAATAGAAAATTATTCCTTATTATGATGAAAAGTTATGTTAAATGCGAGGATAAAATTATGTATAAAACGACTTTATCAATCTCCTCACACTTAAACTTTGCTTGCCCTCAAGCAAAACAACTCAAGTAAAAAGAATGACATGTTTCGCTGTCAAACTCGTAACTCTCGAGAACAACACCAAGTTAATAATCATATATCCTTCTCTTACTTCTAGCAATTCCTTGACTTATTCTCTTTCCATTTAAAAAAAAACTAACTTGTTTCTTAACTCTTTAGGAGATGCACAAGATTTCATTCTCTAACCAATTCCCAAAGGATTAAAAACTTAGTAGCTTTTGGACTTAGAGAATTACCTCCTCTGTCATGACTCAAGTAAATCCGTGAGTATCCCATAAATGTCCTTATGATATTATTATTTATAATTCTTCAATGATTTCCTTTGGGCAGAGCTCCGTGGGAGATAGAATACTCACTTATAATGCAAATAGACTATCGAGATTGTGGGTTTATCCCATTTTATTTGCATACTTGCTCCCTCACCTTATGCGATTCACGGGAGAAGCAGAGCTCCTTTACGGAGATAGGATTCTCAATTCGTCACTTAAGCGCAATCTCAATAGCCATCATAACATTTTTTTTAATGACGGAGGAGAAATTCCAAAAATCCAAACTACTAGTTATTAATCCCTAACTTTCTCAACCATTAAACCCACTTGTGCATCACTTAAATAATAAGAAACAAGTTAATTAGTTTAAATAAAAGGAAAATAGCAAGGAAGAGAAAGAGTAAGAGAAAAAAAATATGACTACAACTTAGTGTGTATCAAAAATTACGAGAGTGAGACAACAAATCATACCTGATACTCGAACTCTACCTCCTCACACTTAAATCGAACTACGTCCTCGTAGTCGAGATGCAAGAGGTGAGTCAAGAAAGCTAGATATAGCGGTAAGTCAATGAAATTAACCGAGACTAACTCGAGTCGTTTCACAAGGATTGGCGAAAGGAAGTATTTGTTAATTATCTTAATATTTTACTTCAAAACAATTAATTTAGAGCAATCAAGTTCAAAGCAATAGCAGTAATATGATTAATCCAATCAATAATTTAGAAACATGTATGAATCGAACAGGTGTATGGGCTAAGGTAATAATTTTGGATTAAATTAACTTCTTAATTAATTTGATTTCATATCATTAACTTATCCATTTTTCAGGCCTCATTAATGTGTCTAAATATGGTTGGCTAGATTATTTTTCTTAACTCATAGACAAGCTAGACTAATAATCTCCAAAGATTAATTAATAAATTGGCCAGATCTATTAATTAGTGAATCTCATTTTAGACAAATGAATCAAATTAATCAAGTTACTAACTTAATCTTAATTGCTAATCATTAGCCCATACCCTTAATTCAATTCATACCTTAGTATAAATTTAGCCACTAAAAGCCATAAGTACANGCCTCATTAATGTGTCTAAATATGGTTGGCTAGATTATTTTTCTTAACTCATAGACAAGCTAGACTAATAATCTCCAAAGATTAATTAATAAATTGGCCAGATCTATTAATTAGTGAATCTCATTTTAGACAAATGAATCAAATTAATCAAGTTACTAACTTAATCTTAATTGCTAATCATTAGCCCATACCCTTAATTCAATTCATACCTTAGTATAAATTTAGCCACTAAAAGCCATAAGTACATAATTTAAACTAAGCACTAAAAGATAATTTTATTAATAAAAGAAGAGTGTACAAGAAAGCGTACAGATCTTGAAGAACAGAATACAAATCACACAAATCTTCAAATCAACACTCTAAGATGTTTAAGAAGAACTCTCAAACTCAATAAAGGTGAAAAAGTGGAATTTTTGGGGTGATGGTGAAGGAAATGACCGAGTGGGGTATTTATACCCGAGCAGACCACACAGGCGGGCAGACAGGCGGCCGCCTGTTAGCCCGCCACCGCCAACATGGGAAGCTTCTAGATCGGCGATACTTTGAGAACAACGACACGCAGGCACGTAGGCGGCCGCCTGCTAGCCCGCCGGAGCCAATTTTCCCCGTCTGCGCTTGTGTTCGCCGCCGGAGCCAACCCTCGCCGTTTGCTGATGCTTGGCAGGCGGCCTGGTAGGCGGCCGCCTGCCTGGTCGCCTGTCGTGCACTCGGCTCCTAAACTCATATTTTGCTTCAAAATTGATTCTGAACACCTTTCTCTCTTGCTCCAACTTCCAATTCCATTCCAAGAGGAAAATATTGCTAATTTCTTGTTGAAATCAAACATATTTTTATTTTTCTTGGCCCATTCAAATTTACTACTCAAAAATATAGAAATATGACTTTTAGTAGAAAATTATTCCTTATTATGATGAAAAGTTATGTTAAATGCAAGGATAAAATTATGTATAAAACGACTTTATCACTAACACAATTCAACATTGAGTATCAACCTAAGTCGACAATCAAGGGTAATGCATTAGTAGATTTTTTGGTAGACATGCCCGAATTGAAAGTGGACCGACTGGTCACCCAACCCGCAGAATAGTGGTGGGAAATGGCAATTGACGGGGACTCAAGGCTGAGGCTCGAGAGGATGCAGTAGTGGGGTGGTGTTCACCACCCTGGAAGGGTTCAAGTTATACCATGCCATAATTTTCAACTTCAAACTAACAAATTATGAAGCGGAGTACAAAGCTTTGGCCAGAGGACTTCGTCTAGCCTAGGCTTTGAAGATCACCCGGGTGAGTTTCAGGTCAAACTCCAGCCTCATCATCGGACAGGTCACTTGGACGATGGAAGCAAGGGAGGGCCGGATGGCTTAGTACAAGGACTTAATGCTCACCCTGCTGAGAGGATTGGTCGAGTTTAAGATAACTAAAATACTCAGGGCAGAGAATACTCATACAAATCTCCTCTCAAAATTGACGTAGTGAGACCCGGAGCGCATTTTGAAACTTGCCAAAGTGGAGCTCCTAGACCTAGCAAGCATATATAAGTTGGAAGTGGTCTTGGTACGCAAACTCGAAGAGGTTGACCGGGTGGTTACCAGCATGGTCAGGGCGAATGATAACTTGGACGATCGGGTGAAATATTTGTTGATCGGGCCCCCCTTGTTCCAGCTATACAAAAGGGCATTTAGAGGACCACTCCTAAGATGCCTCAAAAATCGAGAAGCCTAAAGGGTCATTGTGGATCATAGTATGATAATGTAAGAAGTATGTGCAAAAGTGTCCTGCACCCACTCCTAAATGTCCTGCACCCTCTCTTGACGAATTATCTTGCTGGAGTACTATTGGGCGACCATAGTATGAGACTGTAAGAAGTATGTGCAAAAGTGCAGGACATGCCCGGTATTTTACAGACACCTCGGTAGGCCAGCCACCTACTACCACCCCATGTCAAACATCATCCCCTTTAACAGATTCCGGGTGGATATCATAGGCACCCTTTTAATAGCCCAGAGAAGTAGAAATTCATGATCGTGGAGATTGATTACTTTACCAAGTGGGTGGAGGCCGAATCATTTGCAAATATTACGACGCAGCAAGAAGTTCATATGGAAGAACATCATCACGAGATTCGGAGCGCCCAAGCACTTGGTCACGGTAATGGCCCACAATTCATAAATCCCAAATTCACCGAGTATTTGGAATGCTTTGGCATCAAGCCCAACCTCTCTTTGGTGGCCTAACCCCAGTGTAATAATGGTTAGGTGGAAAATGGAAACAAGACCATAGTCGATGACTTGAATAAATGACTAGGGGAAGCAGGGAACAAGTGGGTGGAAGAACTCCCACACATAGTATGGGCATATTGAGTAACACCCACGCGAGCACAAGGGGAGATGCCTTTCTCTTTGACTTTTGGGTGCGAAGCAAGGCTTCCCATTGAATTAGAATTTCTAACCTTCACGGAGGTAAACTTTTAGCAGGAACAAAATTAGGAGGATCACTTGGCTGAACTCAACCTGGTTGAAGAATGGAGAATGACTGCCGAAGTAAATATGAGCGGGTACAAACAGTCGGTCAAAAAATACCATGATAACAAGGTTGGCCCCTGATACTTCCAGGTGGGCGACGAAGTTCTCCGACGTAGGGAGGCCAGCAAACCTAGCGATGGGGGAAAACTTGCAAAGAATTAGGAGGGACCATATCAGGTCAGCACGACAATATGCCTAGGTACCTACAAGCTAGAGATATGGGAAGGAGGAAGGATTGAAAGGTGTCGGAACTCACACTACCTGAGGAAGTTTTATAAGTAAATTTAGTATTGGGCATGGCCTATTCGAAGTTTAATAAAGGGGATATTTCCAACCCCACAAAAGTCACATGGTCAAACATAACGGGTAGGCTAGACCCAACCTAGATTTGCCCATGGGGGAAAACCTGAGACACAAGCTCTAACCTGGAACAGTGGTTACGACACTGGTCTCGCTTAGTGTAATAAAAAAATGTGAAACCCAGAAGAGGAGTCCCAGATAAAGGGTTTGCCGGCAATCAGGCTAAACTTGGAAGAATGTTCGAAACCATACCTACAAGAAATAAATAAGATGCCCAAGAAAAGAATGAAAAAGGATCACTCACCGTAGTGGTTTCTAAACCGACCCATCCGTATCCCCCTTCTTAAGGAAGACTTGAACGGTCAACGAGCCAAGGCCCTTGTCTTAAGATAGTAAGTAAAGAAGGGCCACAAAAGACTTAATCACCCATAAGAGGGGGCCTTTGAAGAGGGGTGCATTTGACCCTTAGAGAGGGCTAAAAACCATCCAAGATGATTGAAATCTCTAGTGTTGACCTGGCTAGATCAAACACACTCCCAATCATTACTAGATTACAAGTATGCCCACCTACAACCTAAGCATTATAAAAAAGACGCGATTCGGGTAGCACCAAGAAACCAGGTAACTTCCTTACAAGGAAGAACCTTGAAAATATTAAAACCAGAGACCCTGACCTAGTCGGTGTCTCAAGGTTGGAATTGGAAAATGCGACATAAACAAGAAATACAAAATCAAAGGGTTAATCATTGGGAAACAAAATCACTGGGTGAATCAAGTCACTAACAGGTTAGCTTTCGCACAAGTATAAACTTGTCGAAAAGCAAGGCCGGGTCAAAGTGTTAGGGACGCACCGGGTGAAACCAACACTAAAAGAGGGTCAATGTCAATATTAAGACTATGCGATTCAAAGGACAAGGATGTCTTAAAAGATGGGCCGGGAAAACGAATGGACGAGATAAGTTAAACGGGAAAGATGTTAGAGTTAAAGCAATCGAAAAGAAACGCATGCACCTTGTAAATAAAATAAAGTGGTTAAAAGGTACACAAAGGCATCGTTAAATAAGTACAAAGTTGGATTGCATCTTCACCATGCATATCCAAGCAAATACGAATTGTTGAGAAAATTTGAAGAAAAAAACATGTTTCAATCAAGACAAGGGGAATGGGGGAGCCGTCTCTTCCGTAAGGACCAGTGGCAGGTCATAGGCTTTGAAGCTAAACTCCGAGTCTCAGGCAGCGAGGGCATTATGGGTGGCAGCCCTTTCCCTTATCTACTCCACCTTGAAGCCGTAATATCCCATGATTGTAATCATCATCTTCCCCTCATGCTCCCGGTAAAGGGTCTTGAAGAGGTCCAGTGTGGCCTCGGGGAGGTGAGAAGCTCCGGCGCAAGTTCGGCTTGATGCTATTTCGCTGAAGCCACAACCTCAACTGGGAGATTTGACTCCTTGTGCTCCACGCTTATCCTAAGTGCGGAGTTCTCTTCCATCACCCGGCTGTTTTCATCCATCAATCGGGTGTTCTCCACCTGAAGTTCTTTTTGCTCCTTCTCCACCTCCTCGTCCAAACCTGTCAACTTGGCCACCTCTTGAGTCTTATTAGCGAAGACGAGGGACATCTCTTTGTTCTTGGCCACATGCATCGGGATCTCCTCCTTAGCCACCTAGAGGATACCCTTGAGCCATGAAACAATAGAAGATCGGCCTTCAAGGAGGCGGTCCACCATTTAGTGCCCAATCTCACCGGCCTACATAAAAGAAAGTGTGAATTGTAAAGAATGAACATATGGAATGGGTAGTACATATTTGAAAATTTTACCTCTCAAAGACGTAGCCCCATCACGAACTATAGCTCCTCTAGGGGAAGGGATATCAACCGGGGGTTTCTCCTGGACTTCTTAGAAGACCCATGAGCATCATCATAGCATCATCGGCAAGTCTCTTCCCAACGACATCGGCCGATCTCTATTCTCCATTGTCCTTCTTCTGTTTGGACTTCTCCCTCTCCGGAATCGAACCCTAATTCTCCGTCACCCGTCACCACCATGGTAGGCCACTATCCTACCATCGAAAGTTGATAGGGCAGAAATTTGAATGATGCGTCGTCAGCACTATGGCCTTGCGATCCGTCAAGTTATCATGAATCATCATAAAAACAGGGAAAACCCGCATTGACCTTTTATCTAATAAATGCATCCCTTCCAAGAGTTGGGACTTGTTGCACGTATTAGTTCTAGATTTACTACGGTTATTCGATTAGTAGGTACCATCAAACAAACTATTACTGATTTAATGAGCCATTCGCAGTTTCACATTCTGAATTTGTTCATGCTTACACATGCATGGCTTAACCTTTGAGGATGATTTCGATAGTATCCCGCTGGATGGGAGTTTTCTGGGAGCTATCCTGGACATTCTTCTCCTGGGCAAAAGTTGAAGAGGGGTGGGAATGTCTAGTACCAGTCTTACCGGTTACCTTCTTGAAAGGATTGGCATAGGCTTCAAACTCCATAACTACATAAGGAAAGGAATGAGTTAGATCACGAAATTTCAATAAGAATATATTAAATAAAAGAAAGGTGAAGACGAACTTAGGCAAGGCGAGCACCCGACCTGTGCATCGTTGCCTGGGGGAGGTGCCTCAGGCCCCTCTGCTTCATGGGTCCTTAACTTAAGGTACCAGCCGCACCATGGTTAACACGGCGAACCCAGCTGCTAAAGTGGAATTTCCTCGAGGTGTCTGGATCACCCTCAAGTAGCCTCTCCAAAGCCTCCTCCTGATTAGGGGAATTAGCTGACAGCGCATACACGTGGTTGAGCAAGTGATCGTTCCACTTTAAGCCGGCTAGGGGGGAATCATCTTCGGGAATTCAACAAAAGCAAAGGCTAACTTCCAACCCCAGTTACTAGGAAGAAGATTAGTTATAAAGGCCTAGTTTTGACATGACTTGAAGTAAACGAACCCCTCACACACGGTCTTCCCGAGAAGGATCTCAAATAAATAAACAAAAAGGCGAAGAGAGGGGTTTATGCTGAGTGATTGGCAGATGTTTATGAAGCATTTTAGGAGACGGTGAGCTTTGGGTGTAATCTAACTGGGCAGAATGGAAAAGGCGTGGCAAACCTCGACTGGAAGAGGACAGAGGGGGATCTCCACTCCAGCGATTTGATATGAAAACCAACCCAGGTCTCCTGGTGTGGGGCCACGATGTTGGGCCACTTGGGGTCGTAGTGAAGCACATACCCGTTCAAAAGGTGTTGTCGCGCCTTTTTAACGGCAATCTTCGACGTGTTGGGACGAATCACCCAGACGAAGTCTGTGGGAAGGGGAAAGTAACTTGCTTCTGACAACCTATCTTCCCAATCATCCCTGCTCTCATTTTTTTGGTCGAAGGGTTGGAGGTGAAGAATAAGGGTTGGAGGAATAATAGGTGATGGGGGATTTCCATGTCACCCAGGACAATAGGTGATGGGGGAGGTGAAGAATAAGGGTTGGAGGAAGACGGGGAGACAACCTTGTCAGATCTGTATGAATGGACTTACTGGTTTTTACTATTTGATGAAGATATGAAGGGTGAAGAAATTAAAAGGAAGAAAGAAAAGGACTCAGAGGACTTACTTGGGTGGCCGGGATGGAAGTTGGAGGACTTACAAACGACGCTAGAAAATTTCTCAAATGACTCAACGACTTGGTGGTTGGGTATCCATCGCACTACCAGTGAGGACCCACGACTTCGCAGAAAGGGTCTTTAGATCTTCAATGCAATAACTCAAGAAACCACCCAAGTGGTTTAGCATATTAGAAGGTACCGATGTGGGAGTAATCTTGTCTATCCAGATTCCCCTGCTCCAATGGACATCCTAGCAAAATGCTACGCGCCAAAAGGGACAGTCGCAAGGAAAAAGCCCCAATGACCAAGAGATAAACACTTCGAGCCAAAAGAGGCAGCAAGACTTGCACCCTCTCACGTGCAAGGCACGTGGTGAGGCATAGGTGCGTGCCTTCTTGCCTTCTAATTCCACTATAAAAAGATTTTTAACCCTCAGTACAAGGTATCTGAATTTTATCTCTCTAGAGCACATTGTGTAATTCCTCCATATACTCTTCCCTCACTTAATAGCAATTGGACTATGGGTGTTCCCACCTACAGACCTCCCGGTTACTCTTCATCTCGTGAGTAATTTTAGCATCTAAACATACTAAACCACCCTAGACCCGGTCTAGAGTAATTTACCTGGGGTTTAGGCAATTTACACCATCAGCGGGTTTAGGAGTAAAAAATACCATTTATCCATACCCGAACCCGTTATTTTTTAAAAATAAAGTGCTGGGTATATGATAAGTACTCTTGACCCATTTAAAACCTGTACTAGTTAAATAAATAGATAATATTTAAAATTTAAAAACCCTACTCCTCTTCATTGATAGTTGTGTGGCTTCCAAATCTATTTGTATTAATTTCATCACATTAGAGGCATGTACATGTTTGTTTATGCAGTAGTAAAAAGTAAATAGTCTGGAATTAGCTTTAGTTTATATAGGACAGTCTTGCAACATGAATTAATGTGACAAGAAGGCTAATTATGAATCTTAGATTTTGTGGTAGATTTTTTGTAATAAAAGCTTTTTTTTTTTGCAGTAACATATTAGTCTTATTTTTATTTGTATTCAATTAAAAAGTTTTTCATTAATAGTATTTTCACTAATTTGTTTTTCAATTAAAGAAAAACAAAAGACTCAACTTTTATCACGGGTTTATCCGACTCGATACCATGATCTAATGGGTCAAAATCTAGGATTAAACTCCAAGACCCATCGGGTAAACGGCTATAGGTCAGGACCAATATTTTTTAAGTATAGATTATTATGGACCGGCCCAAACCCGACCCATTGATAGGCCTAAACACAATGGTCACAAACTTTAGATCACAAGCATACTATTTGTGAACTTCAATAAAGAAAATTAAATTGTCTAAAATAATTTCAAAATGAGAATTTAAAGAATAAATAGTAACTTTGTGACGTTCTTGACAATTCTATTTGTGAACCCAGCATTGCTCACCGATAGATGTCATAAAGAATACATTTGAACAATAAGGAACAAGGCAATTTCAAAATCATTTTTGTCAATCCATATCATACTTCAAGTTTGAGATATCTTGAAAAATGAAGAATTAAATCCAAACGGAGGGAGTAGATAATAAAAGTTAAGTCCAACTATCAACTTGAACTTTTAGTTGAGATGTATGGAGTATAAAAACAGCTAAACCATATATGAATCACTTCGAGCTATTGGAAGATCATATTTCGAGCTATGGATGTCATACTGCCCCACAGCATGAATAGACGTACCTTTTGAATTTGGTTTACAATACTTGCTAGTTTCTAGAATTATGTTTAAGAATATGTATTTTCTCTCCATTCTTCCTAGAGTACCCATTAAATTATTTTGTGTAATAAAGAATACAAGTTCAACTATATATTGAAGATGACCCAACACAATTAACTACGAGGAAGTCTCTAAGATAGTCGAACCATCCCTCATATGCATTAGTTTAACTTAAACAAAGTTACTATTTTTTTAGTATATTCTTGTTAGACTTGATTTCTACCTGATGAAATGGAAAGAAAGTAAATTACTTTTGCCATAAGAGATAGAAGTTTGAATGGAAAATTAGATGAACGAATAACTTAACTAAATGTCGTATATGTTTCCAGACCGTGTATGATCATGACACGTTCAGCAAGGACGACAAAATGGGGGATGCAGAATTTGACATCAAACCGTTCCTAGAGGCCTTGCAGATGCATCTAGATGGCTTCCCGAGTGGCACCGTGATCACACGAGTACCACCGTGTAGAGCAAATTGCCTGGCGGAGGAGTCGTGTGTCGTCTGGAAAGATGGTAAGGTCTCGCAAGATATGTGCCTGAGATTGAGAAATGTGGAATGCGGCGAGGTAGAACTCCAATTTGAGTGGATAGAGATTCCCAACCACAAGTAAAAGCTTCATCCACCCCTCTTCTTGAAATTCACTATTTCTTTGGAAAGTGTGTTATATAATGGACCTGTATAATTTGCCAAGCCAAGGCTATGTATTGATGAATAATTCGCACATTGATTTAGTCAAAGTTGTCCTATTCTTTTGGAATAAGTCATTTGCTTTGTAAGAGTAGTTGTCCTATTCTTTTGGGATTAATTTTCTACATCTTTTCTTTGTGCCTAGTTTCTAGAAGCCAGTTGTGTTGGTGCCCATTTAATGCGTGTTCCATCTTGTATAAAGTTATCACTTGATCTTCCCTAATTCTTTGCTTCCTTATATAATTTAAAGAGAAATGTTTCCTTTCATATAAGCTAGAATTCCTCTTCCTACTTGTTAGAATAAAGGCCCAATGCTAGAGGGGGGTGAATAGCGTTTAAAACAAAATCGCTGGAAATTAAAAACGAGAGCGATAAAGTAAAGAGCGTAAGGAAGGAGCACACCGAATTTTATCCTGGTTCACCACAACGTGTGGCTAATCCAGCCTCCCGAGAGACTCTCTCGAGCGACACTAACTCCGTTAAGCTTAAGAGTGCTTAACAAACTGATAAAACTTGAGAACTCGAGTCACACGAGCCTCAACGCCTTCGCTTGAAGATACCACACTCCAAGACTTCTCACGAAGGAACAAAGAACTTCCTTCGAGTTTACAACATGGGAACAACCTCCCTTAAAGTGTATAGAAACACTTAAGCACTAAAAAATAAAACTCTCACAAAGAGTAGAATGAGTGAACTAGTAAACGCTCAAGAACACGACAATTTCTTCAAAAATTGGCTCTCAAATAGCTAAGAAAATAGGAATGCTTATGCAATGAAAGAGTATTGAAATGTTGAAGAATTGTATATAAAATGAGAGGATTTGGGTGCCATTTTATAGCCCAAAATGGGATAAACCCGTTGCTAAAATTTCCAACAGGATGAAGACAAATTTTTCAGAGATGCAGGGTGATAGTCGATTGTCTAGCCTTGATAATCGATTATCAAAAGATTCCCTGTCCAAAAATTTAAAACTCTATCCGTTGGAGGACAACGGTAACCCAGATAATCGATTGTCAACAAGTGATAATCGACTATTGGTTCTCTCAGAAGATTATGGGTTTTGGCTGCAGAGGCTGATAATCGATTGTTGCAGAAGTGACAATCGATTATTGCGTGGTTCAGAACTTCGAAGTTCAAAGCTGCAGAGGCTGATAGTCGATTGTCACTAAGGTGATAATTGATTATCACCCAGCTAAAACTCAGCCGGCGAAAACCCGTTTTGAAAAAAAACGAGGTTGAAAAAAGAAGTGTTCCCAAAAGTCAAAACCAAGTTTGAAAAACATTGTATATGGTATAAAATAGTGAAACCAAGACTTGTTTGATAAAAACCAAGTTTTCAAGGTCGTTTATCACGTGTGTACAGTTTTGACCGTTTTTCCTGTGTTAGACCGATTGACCAAGATACAAAAGTGGTTTTTATAAGATAATTATTTGGGAACCTTTTAAATATGCCCAGAGATAAAAACGAGGTTTAAAATATTGAAAACCACCGAGTTGGTTCGGACGCCGAAACCCGAATGCCGGACGGCGATACCGAACACCGACCGAGGTGGTTTTTGGTCTGGGCAAGGACCAAGGATTTAATGCAATAAAAATTTATTTAAAAAAAATTATTTTGATGCACAAAAACATTTTATGATTTTGTAAAATTATTTTGACTCTTTGAGAACCGAGACTTGAATTCATTGTTGGTTTAGATCACAAAAGACCGATTCGACTACGTCTTCAATTCTTGATCTTGTCCTTGAGTCTTTTGGTCTTGTTCCATGCCATTCTTCACGCCTTGAGTTATTCAACGAAACTCTTCATATCCACGGCGGTTTGGCATTTATCAAAACCTGTCAGAAATGAACACGATTTTAGTTTAACTTCACAAAAAGTGTGTTTCAACAATTTCCCCCTTTTTTGATAATGGCAAACAAGACGGGGATATGCATAGGGTTTTGATCTTTTTGAAAAAATTCCCCCTTAATATAAATTCCCCCTTAATATATGCATAGCCCTTATCTTCCCCCTTTTGACATTAACAAAAAGATTTAACAACAAAAACCATAAAGATTTTTATTTATTAAATAAGGAAAATAGCGGAGTACAAAACGAAAGCAAATTCAAAAATGCATAGAGAAGAGAAGAGAAAAGAGCTAGAGCTCTAGAAATCCAGTGAAAGATCATCGAGGAGTTGTTCTTCGTCGATGTCTTCCTCTTCTTCTTCATCTTCATCACCATCATCGTCGTCATCATCATCATCATCTTCTTCTTCTTCTTCGGCTTCCTCTTCCTTTTCTTCAACGTCTACCGTTTCTTCCCCACCAACGTTGTTAGTCCCACTTGGTTCACCACCAAGATTTGGCGGAGGAACATAAGGGACCATTTGAGCGTAAGGGTAGTTGACAAAGTCAAAATACCCGTGAAGCTCACGGCTCAAAATATTGACGTTTTGGGCCGTTTTGGAGACGTTGGTGTCTATCCGAGAAAGGGTGGTAGTCAAGGCTGCCATTTGCTCGGCTAGAGAAGGGTTGGTTGAGGCGGTGGCCCTTGGTCGGCGGCGAGGACGAGGCTGCAGGAACGTAGATTCATCGGTTCCCAGGTGGAAGGAAGACTCATCAATCTCCCAATGCTTTGTTCCTTTTCATTTCGGCCCGACGTCCGTCTTGATGTGGAACTCATCAAGGATCGCCATGACAAGAAGAGCATAGGGGAGCGGCCGATTGTCGGAGGTGGCGTTGAACATGTGAGTCATCACAAATATACACCAATTGATGTTGGCGTTGTGAATCATCGCATGGAGCGTCTTCGTGTCCTCTTGGGAGAGAGCGGTGTGATTGAACTTCCTCGGCTTGAGAATCTGTGTCAAAACATAGAAAATGAATCGAAACACGGGACTCATGGAAGTGATGTAGGGCGCCGATGTTGGGGAGTGGGGACGAAGTTTCGGATACCCACTTGCTCCAAGAGTGTAGTCTCGTTGAACCACGCTCCTTCTTCTCCCACATAGAGGCTGAGATCTTGTCCGTCCCGACGAAGCCTTGTGAGAATTTGAATGTTTTCCTCATTCAAATAGATCTCCACCCTGTTGACGTTTGAAATCAACGATCCGTCATCATCCTCTTTCAAGTTCGAGTAGAAGGCTCGAACAAGAAAAGGTTGATAGTTGTTCTTCTTGATGTAGAGGAGGTCGAGGAAGTGGCCACGTTGGAGGATAACCTGTTCCTCACGTGGAATGGATTCGTGAATGAAGCGGCCAGTGGAGAACCGGAGAGGGAGAATTTCTTGGTGCTCAAACTTCTCCGAGAACCACGTACATGAGAGAGAGGGCCAGTCGTGACTATGGTGGGGTTCATAGGTCCAATCTTGAATATGGTCAGGGGCATATGTCAGTCCATATCATATACAAAGGCACATTCCTGATTATGGTTGTAGACCTGGTTCAAGCCCCGCTAATAAAAGAAAGGAAATTGAATCGGCCTGTAAACATAGTCCTAATGTTAGGAAGAAGAGGTATTCTGGTAATGGAAGTGCTTCTAGCACTAGTCCTGTACGGGAGATGGCTGGTCCTTGCAATGCTCGTGAACGTAGTCCAAACACCAGTGGAAGGGATTTTGAACGGGCCTGCAACTGTAGTCCAGATGCTAGTAGGAATGAGAGGTATTTTGGTAGGGACAAAGCTCCTAGCCTCAGGCATTATCGAGAGAGTTATAGTCGTACTCCTATACTGGACATGGCTGGTCCTGACCGTAGTCTAAACCACAGAGGAAGGGATGTTGAACAGGCACATGACCTTAGTCCATACATTAACATGGAGAGGGCTGGTCCTGAAAATTGGCATGCTAACAGTCCTCCAGAAAGGGGAGGTCTTGAATATACTTCCCATCGCATGAACTCGCATATATTCTTCAATCGCATCCTCATCTCCGTCTCCTCCGGATAGAGCATCCACTCGAGATTGAGAATGATGCTGATGGTAGGCAAAACAGATGTGTGTGTCAGCCACTGGCAAAACTCTTTGCATCTCAGCCCAAAACGAGCGTGCAAGCTCAAGTCAACAACGTCTTGTACGGGAGAGCTAGGAGTAGCAGTGGGGAGAACACCGAGAATAGGATAAAGTTTGCTTAATGAGAAGCCGCTCTATCGAGCCGTGTGCACCAAGGGCTATGAATATTTGCAAAAAATATATTTGTGAACACGACCCAAATGATGTTGAATAAAAAGGAACTAAATTTATTAACTTCTTACCTTTGCAACGCCCACCAATGACTTTGTCCATGTGACGAAGCACTCCTCGCAATCAGTGACGGTCTATATTTGCTCAGTCGAACAAGGAATGGGACATTCACCCATTCTAGGAAGCACCAAGGTCAAAGTGACCTTAACTTGGTGGGGAAGGAGGGGAGAACCGTGCACAACATCTCCCGGTGCGCGTGGGAAAATCGATCCATGTGCCACTATATAATCGGCTGGATCAGAGATCCTCAAGCAACAAGCAGTAACCTACAAAAAGGTTAGTTAACTAATGTTGGAAACAAGTAAATGCAAACCTAACTTGAAATCTAAATTAAAAAATATATGCACTTCAGTCAGATCGGCGAAGTCAACAAAATCAGTTGACGCCTTACTGCTATGCTGCCCATGATGAGGTGCTACAAAAGGTGTATGCTGCAACATGGAACCAAACTCTGTAGCACCCCCAGACAAAGATAGTTGATACTGCATGACAGTTGTAGTTTTTCGGGTAGTAAACCTTCCCAGTAAAGGGGTAGTTTTCTCTCCGAGTGTCATGTCTCTCGAGGAGTAAACGAAGGGAATTAGTTTAATTACTCTAATTAGGCGAAGGTTAGGATTGGTTTATGAAAGTCTTCTCGGAACGAATAAAAAGGGAGCAGAGTAAAAATAAATCAATTTTACATAGTATAAGTGCAGATCTGGACCTAGGGTCAGGACATCATTTGGATCTATTTTATCATATTAAATTAACAATTGGAATAATAATATTTCTATTACTACTCATCCATTTCTAGATTTGTACTTAATCTGTTATACTTGTATATCATATCCCTTTGGCATACAATATTTTCTCAATAAATAACTAATTAAATCTTTCGAGAATAATTAACTAAATAAGGCAAGAACAATAGACTAACCATTCCAATATTAATTTAACATTCAAAAACATAACCAAACTAGTCCAGACCCAGAGATCCGGACCCTAACTCATACTATGCAAACATAAATAAAAATAGCATTTTATTAAATAAAAGAAACTTACAACTTCCGTACAAGCAGATTTGAACAGATCGGGAGTAGAATTTCTCCAAAATCAACTCTAAAACTACTATAATGATAAACTAGAACTTGGAATTGAAGTATAGAGTGCTAATCCCGAGAATGGGATTGAAAGTGATGGGTTGAATGGGGAGAACCGCGCTTTATTTATAGGACAGAGACCGAGGCATCCAAGTCGAAGCGTCCAAGTCCAGGCGTCCAGATCGGGACGCTTGAGCTGCTCTGGCCAACCAGATTTCGCCACGTGTCTTTCTTGGACTGCAATCCAGCCAAGGCGTCAAACTCCCAAGCGTCCAACTTGGCCAAGCGTCCAAGTTGGACGCCTTAAGCCCTGGTCCGTTTGGGCTTCGCGGCTGACGCGTGATCTTGGCCCAATTTTGCTGGTTTTCGGCCCGAACGTCGATTTTACCTTCCCGGAAGCTCGTTCAAGCCCGAATCTTGATCCTTTGATGATTTATTCCCTTTTCATCATGTATTTGAACATAAAATGGATGATTTATGATGATTTTATGTGGAATCCCTTTTTATGACTCTTAGAGCGAAACTGAGAGTTTTAATGATTAAAAATACATTTTATGAGATGATTAAATACTATTTACGTGCAATAACGTTTAAGATATGATGTAAATGATAAGAACGAAATGGACATATCACTGTAGCAAAAGGGAAGGGAGACGCTGCAACAGATCCTGCTCAGTCGTATTGTAACGCCCCAAAATATACCCTAAAATTTATTGAATTAAATATTCAATTAAACAAATTTGTTTTCATTAAAAGAAATTCTTATTGGGCTTTGGGCCTGATATGAAATATGTTCTAAAGTCTAATCTGGATAAATCTAATACAGATAAATCCAATATGTTGACTATTTGTGTAACCTTGACTATCATGGAAATAAATAATATGGATTAAATATCAGAACCTTTTTGAATAAAAGTCAACTAAATCAATTTTGACTCTGTCAAAGTCAACCACCCAAAAATATGATGTCAGAAAAAGTATAACGAATAAATATAAAAATTATATCGTTGGATAGAGTTTAACTATCCGATTGCAACGGTGCAAACGGATTTCAATTCGGAGAAAGTTGGACCAAAAAGTATTCCCCAACTAGGACCAATTTAGTCCCAATCAGGGACTTACGTATAAAATGTGTAGGAGCCGCAGCCCCCTCCACTGAGATGCCAAAACAGTGTAAGGGAGGTCATCTCCCATGGCTTCTTCCCCCTTCCTCCTTCCTATATAAACCCTCCAATTTCTCACCATTCTTCACCAATCTTATTCCAAAGGATAGCTGAGAGTGTAGAGAGTGAAGTAGTGCTGTCAAGAGAGCTTCCCGTCGCCGGAGCAAGCTGTGGTGTTCGTCGAAAGTTTCGCTGTTTTTTCGTCGGAATCATCGTTTCACTTCGAGGTAAGCCCGTTGATATATCTAATGACTAGAATGTTCGTATAGATCGTTTCTACGTTCATAAACGGTCGTTTGGTTGAGTTTTGTGTTTGACGTGCTTGAAGAACCAAGAATCATAAACCTTGAATTTGATGTTAAAACTATGAATTAATGATACAAAAATGATTCATGAACCTTGGAGAACATTTCTATATAGTTTAATTGAAGTTTGGTAGCTCAAAATGATATTCACGAAGCATGAATCGAGGTTGAAGACGAAGTAGTGTTCCTTATTCGGATACCGCACGCAGTAGCGGTAATGCACTGCCGTGCGACGGTAATGCACTGCCGTAAGACGGTAGGATGGTACCACCACAGGCCATTTTAGCCTATCCAAAATCTTTATGTTCGGAAATTAACTCTAGAAAATGCTATCATGATATTTTTCCACTCCAAGACAGAAATGAAACCATTTTTAAAGTAAATATAATATTTTGATTAATCCAAATATGTTATTTGATGCATGACGGTAAGCTAGGGTGTTAACACTTGAAGCTAGACCGCTAATTGTTATTGCTTTGAATGTTACGTTAATTGATGAATATGATGAATGATTATTATGATGATTATGGCTTGATGAAATCACTAATTAAAATGATTATCAAAGATTAAATTATGAATTAAAATGAATATAATGATGATTATGAAATGATTTGAATTGTAAGGATATCTAGAAGAACTCTAAGATATACCTAGGTTGACTTTGGTTTCTAAGACTATCTAGAAGACCTCTAAGATAGCTTAGAAATAGGCCTTGCGGGTATAATTATGAATATTCGGTGGCCTGGGTTAAAACGTACGTACGGGATCTACAAACCAAACTAGAGGAACTCGTTTAGGGATACCACCCAACCCGACAGTGAGCACTTCGGATCCGCTGTTCGGTTTTTGGATGACCTTAATCGAAGGTAAGTTTAAGATTTTGAAAACCTCTTTTGAAAATTTATATCTTAAACTAGGCCTAGCTTAAGGGTTAGATAAGAGTACCTTAAACTGGAACATAGTTTAACTATCTTAAACTAGAATTCGTTTAAGAGTTGGTAAATATCAAATAGATTGGCCTTAGACTGAAAATACTTTAAGGATATTGTTAAATGACAAATGATGAATATTGTATGATGAATGTTGGATATGAATGATGAATATACATGTTGAATGGTTGAATAATGAATGTTGAAAATTGAATATTGATTATTGAATATCTGAACTGAACATTATGTGCATGATATCAAATGATTTGATTATGAATTAAGATTCTGTTTATATGGATGTTCGACGCATTAGATATGCTTACTCAGCTTTACCGCTGAGCGTGTAGTATGTTTTATTTGCTACACGCAGGTTAATAGAAAGAATGATATGACATGATCCTGGAGGCAGACGGAGGCGAGATTGTCGGAATGGATGTGATGGTTTTGAATTAAAGAACATAAATAAATTGTGTTTGTAATTATGATTTGTTAAGCTTCCGCAATATTGAAAACTCCGTACTGTTATGTTATGAAAAATATTATTGTGATAAATAAAAGTGTTTGAAAAGTTTTAAATTTTTAGGATTTCCAAGTTAATACTTTAGTCCGAAAGGGGCTGCAGACCTGGACGGATTAGGGTGTTACAATTTGGTATCAGAGCAAATGGTTTTAAAACCGATCTTTGGATCAAAATTTGAATTTAAAAAAATATATATACTTTTGTCAATCACATCCACGACTCTCGCGTCCTTCTTCTCGAAGAAAGGTATGAGAAATTACTTGGTAAATATTTACTCTGTTAGAATTCTCATTGAATAAAATTGATTAGTACTGAAATCATATCGAACATAGACTCTAGTAGAACTTTCGTACTCGGTGAAGAGACGCAAGAATGAATGAAAAATATATTACCCTCTGATCTGTTATTAACGTACGCATCGCATCGCGAGGGACGAAACTGATCTGCATCGCGAAGTCGCATGAAAGTGAGATGACTCTAAAGAAATGATTTATGTTGAACAACCATTGTGAAGCCGATGTCAAAGATCCTCATGTGGACTCAACGCGAACCAATCGTTGACGCAAACGAAAACGTTTAGAATTAATAAACCCTATCGTTTCTTCCAATCTCTCTTGATTGTATTCCATCGTCGCAATTGTTATATACCCTCGTGATATTTGTTATCAACGCACCTACGCAAATAAGGAATCCTAATAAAGAAATTCCTACAATTTGTAGAATGAGTCAAGAAACTGCACGCGGACAAGATAACCAAGTGCAAAACAATGGACACACAACGGTTCATATTGAAATATCGAATTTCACTCTTGTTGTCCGAAAAGAGCCAGACAATCAAAACATCCACCAAGATATTGAAGGTCACTCTAATACTTATTCAAGTATCAAACCCGATACTAAGGGAAAGAAGCCTTTGACTGGAACGTGTAGTGCCGCCCCACCCTCGAAAAGAAGAAAACCTTTGTCAACTCAACACAAATTAAGAGTGTTGAAACATCCAAAGTGTAACACTTGTAGAAGACATCACCCAGGAGAATGTTGGATGACACAAGGATTATGTATAGGTTGTGGTAAATCTGGCATTTTCGAAAGGAATGTCCTACAAAACCTTGGGAAAGCAATGCCGATGTCCCTGTTCAAAGTCATTCTACCTCAGCCCGACTTGCACCAGCAGGAAATAACCCACAAACCAAATCATGCACGTGCGTATGCAGTGAAAGACCGCGTTGAAGAAAACTCTGGCGTCATCATTAATATATTTCCTTATTCGATAATTTATAAAATTATCTATGTACTGATCCGGGATTTGCACTATCTAATATCTATGTAATTCCGTGTTGAATAAACCTCCGTTGAGATTGAAAACTCAAGGATTCCTTAATAAAGAATCATTTGATTAAGTGTTTTCTCTTTGAATACCTATTTTGTTCGTATGCGAATACAGAACGATCGACGAAACTCTGTATGAACTATCGTCAATTAAACAAATCCTTATCCTTCACTTCGTATCATGACTTATTTGATCAACTTAGAGGATCCATTGTGTTCTCTAAGATTTACTTACGGTCAGGATATTAACAATTCTCTGTTAGGAAACTTGAAAAAACTAACAATCAAGAATCGCCACTCCTTACTTTGAAATGGACTCATTTGTATGCGCTATTGACATAAAAGATTGCGACGTGGTGACGATACAAAAACAAGACGTCAAACAGTGACACCAATAGTGAAAAACTGAAGAATTAAGAAAATATAGCTCTCACTGGCCATGCAGCCTAGAATAATATTTATGGATAATTACATTTCAACACAAAATACAACTTAGATCATATGAGGAATGCTACAGATGCAATTCTAAGTCTAATCTCCCAGGATTTGCAAACTCATCATAACTAGACCCAGGACCCGGGAAAGCTTTAGCAAACTCTAGTTTGTCTAAAAGCTCATCAACAAAGGAAGAAGAAATGAAAAGTTTCCTCTGACTCAAAGACATGAAGTTCTGCCTCACCGCATCGTCTAGAAATTTGATTAGGTTATTGAAATAACCGTCAATGTTCAAGAGACCAATGGGTCTATTGTGTAACCCTTCAGAAGCCCACAAAATCAAGGTGAACAAACCTTCCATAGTGTCAACTCCCCCGGGAAGAATGATGAAAGTTTCCACGGCATGATTCATCTCAAAATATTTGTAATAGTTGTTGGAAACTGTATGCTCTACAACGTACGTAGGTCCATAGACACGTCGTGTTGCTATGTACCCAGGAATAAAACCTCTAACGAGACCACCATTGGTAAAGACTGTTGAAGCAACAGCTCCTTGAAGGCCAACACTACCTCCTCCATAGGCAAGTGTAATCTTTCGCCTTATCAATTCCCTTCCTAAATCTACCGCAGTAGCCATAAACTTTGGATTTATACCAAGAGAATGACTGCCAAGTAGACCAACGAAGCTTATGCTGTAAGGAAGTGTTCGAGAAGTTCCTTCCATAATGTGAGAATGTGAGATACTCTCTCCATAATCGTGATATATATAGTCTCTTAAACCTGACCATTGATGGAAAGGTAATTATCACCAGCCAAAATACGTACAGTAAAATGGATTCAAATTACCTACAGACGAGAACATACTCGTTAATACTATAGTCTGCTGACGATATGACGTATTGAGACTCTTGAACAGTTAGATTCGCTGTCCAAAAACACGTTCAAATCCGAGACGAAAAGACAAAATGGCTATTTCCTAAGACAACAACATCTTGAGTAACTTCTAAAGAGTGAAACATTGAAGGAAGAAAACCTACGATTAGTAACGGTAATTTGTAAACGTTGTCTTGATATCTTGTGACTCGTATCCTTGGAATACTCAAAATTATTGTGTTAACTACACCCTTGAAACATTTCACTTGACCAATCTTGAAAAGATTGAATTCCATTGTTTGTATCAAATCATTGAAAACTTGTCTCAACTTTTGGTTCTTCATTAAATACCAAAAGATGCTTTATGATACCAATCTTTGAAAACTATACCCTGTGGAATACGTGACTCGATCGCAATAGTAAAACTACCCTGACTTGAATAATATGTTAAACCTCTTTATGTGAACCACAAAACAATTGATGCCATAACGTTATCTCTGAAGATTATTATCGATGATCTCATTGGTCAGACAAAATCTGTTATGACCCTATCAAGGGAATATATGTGTAGAAGAAATGACATCACGAGGATCAAGCTAAAATCCCGAATCTATAAGTGATAATTGGTGTAAGAACTCGTACGATTCCTTACTCTTTGAATTCGTGAATTGAATCACATACCGAAGATATTCTCTTTCTCCCTCAAAACGAGATCAGCCATAGTGCTACAATCGAATCTGTCACTATCATATCTAGATATGTTTTCAAATTAATAGAAGAAGTTTGATACGACAAGTCGTACATGAGACGCTACTTGAACGTCATCACCTATGAATACGAAGACTCATTAAACGATAAAAGAGAGCTACCATGAAGATGAATGAAGAAATGTTTCGATGTAAGATCGATGATGACAAGCTACTGTACAATCAATCAACAGTACTTCTTCATAAATGATGACAAACTTCCTATCCTTAGAATCCTGAACCGAGCAAAGCCATTTGATGATATTTATACATCATTGCTAAACTATGTGAATGATGTGAAAATGTTTTGGATGACTTAAAGGACTACGCTATGATTAATGGATTAAAAAAAACTCTAAACTCCCAACTATACCTATCGTGAATATGATGATTTGAAACTGCAAATGCTACCGAAAGACCCTCAATCAAAGGAGGAATACCGTATCCGTGTGAATTATGACGTAATTATGGTTTAACCCATTGAGCATGACACGGTCATGACTAAGTGAGATCATTACGAAATGGTGAGCGTTGGACCTTAGAAGAATTTCGAGGACGAAATTCCTTTAAGAGGGGAAGAAATGTAACGCCCCAAAATATACCCTAAAATTTATTGAATTAAATATTCAATTAAACAAATTTGTTTTCATTAAAAGAAATTATTATTGGGCTTTGGGCCTGATATGAAATATGTTCTAAAGTCTAATATGCATAAATCTAATATAGATAAATCCAATATGTTGACTATTTGTGTAACCTTGATTGTGATCGGAGTACAGACCAAAATCAAGAATAAATTAAGAAATTGACTTGTGATATAAATATTGAAATGATTTATTAAAATAAATCATGGAAATAAATAATATGGATTAAATATGAGAACCTTTTTGAATAAAAGTCAACTGAATCAATTTTGACTCTGTCAAAGTCAACCACCCAAAAATATGATGTCAGAAAAAGTATAACGAATAAATATAAAAATTATATCATTGGATAGAGTTTAACTATCCGATTGCAACGGTGCAATTTCAATTCGGAGAAAGTTGGACCAAAAAGTGTTCCCCGACTAGGACCAATTTAGTCCCAATCAGGGACTTTCTTATAAAATCTGTAGGAGCCGCAGCCCCCTCCACTGAGACGCCAAAACAGTGTTAGGGAGGTCATCTCCCATGGCTTCTTCCCCTTCCTCCTTCCTATATAAACCATCCAATTTCTCACCATTCTTCACCAATCTTCTTGCAAAGGATAGCTGAGAGTGTAGAGAGTGAAGTAGTGCTGTCAAGAGAGCTTCCCGTCACTTCGAGGTAAGCCCGTTGATATATCTAATGACTAGAATGTTCGTATAGATCATTTCTACGTTCATAAACGGTTATTTGGTTGAGTTTTGTGTTTGACGTGCTTGAAGAACCAAGAATCATAAACCTTGAATTTGATGTTAAAACTATGAATTAATGATACCAAAATGATCTATGAACCTTGGGAACATTTCTATATAGTTTAATTGAAGTTTGGTAGCTCAAAATGATATTCACGAAGCTTGAATCGAGGTTGAAGACGAAGTACTGTTCCTGATTCGGATACAGCACGCAGTAGCGGTAATGCACTACCGTGCGACGGTAATGCACTACCATGCGACGGTAATGCACTACCGTGCGACGGTAATGCACTGCCGTAAGACGGTAGGATGGTACCGCCACAGGCCATTTTAGCCTGTCCAAAATCTTTATGTTCGGAAATTAACTCTAGAAAATGCTATCATGATATTTTTCCACTCCAAGACAGAAATGAAACCATTTTTAAAGTAAATATAATATTTTGATTAATCCAAATATGTTATTTGATTCATGACGGTAAGCTAGGGTGTTAACACTTGAAGCTAGATCGCTAATTGCTATTGCTTTGAATGTTACGTTAATTGATGATTATGATGAATGATTATTATGATGATTATGGCTTGATGAAACCACTAATTAAAATGATTATCAAAGATTAAATTATGAATTAAAATGAATATGTTGATGATTATGAAATGATTTGAATTGTAAGGATATCTAGAAGAACTCTAAGATATACCTAGGTTGACTTTGGTTTCTAAGACTATCTAGAAGACCTCTAAGATAGCTTAGAAATAGGCCTTGCGGGTATAATTATGAATATTCGGTGGCTTGGGTTAAAACGTACGTACGGGATCTACAAACCAAACTAGAGGAACTCGTTTAGGGATACCACCCAACCCGACAGTGAGCACTTCGGATCCGCTGTTCGGTTTTTGGATGACATTAATCGAAGGTAAGTTTAAGATTTTGAAAACCTCTTTTGAAAATTTATATCTTAAACTAGGCCTAGCTTAAGGGTTAGATAAGAGTACCTTAAACTGGAATATAGTTTAACTATCTTAAACTAGAATTCGTTTAAGAGTTGGTAAATATCAAATAGATTGGCCTTAGACTGAAAATAGTTTAAGGATATTGTTAATTGACAAATGATGAATATTGTATGATGAATGTTGGATATGAATGATGAATATACATGTTGAATGATTGAATAATGAATGTTGAAAATTGAATATTGATTATTGAATATCTGAACTGAACATTATGTGCATGATATCAAATGATTTGATTATGAATTAAGATTCTGTTTATTTGGATGTTCGACGCATTAGATATGCTTACTCAGCTTTACCGCTGAGCGTGTAGTATGTTTTATTTGCTACACGCAGGTTAATAGAAAGAATGATATGACATGATCCTGGAGGCAGACAGAGGCGAGATTGTCGGAATGGATGTGATGGTTTTGAATTAAAGAACATAAATAAATTATGTTTGTAATTATGATTTGTTAAGCTTCCGCAATATTGAAAACTCCGTACTGTTATGTTATGAAAAGTATTATTGTGATAAATAAAAGTGTTTGAAAAGTTTTAAATTTTTACGATTTCCAAGTTAATACTTTAGTCCGAAAGGGGCTGCAGACCTGGACGGATTAGGGTGTTACACGTATACTGCCCTTCGGGCTTATGGGTCTTCATGTTGCCATTGAAGACCTTCCGTAAGACCATGTAGGACCCAACACCCCTCATCTACCATGCGTGCTCAACAGTCCCTAAAGCCCTAGTCAATACATCATTGTGCCCCTCTAGCACAAAGGTACCGGCCGCCACCTCTTCCTTCAGTTGGACCTTTGACAATTAAGAAATTAAAAAATTAAAGAAATTTTAAGCAAATAATAAACAACTAATAAACAAATATATTGACAAGAATGTAAATTATATGATTACTATCCTATTAGCTGGACCTTTGATAATTAAGAAATAAAAAATTAAAGAAATTGTAAGCAAATACTCACTCCGTCCCTAAATAAACTTCCATTTTTGACTTTTTGAGGATTTAAGGGAGGGATATTTTTGTGTTGACTTTCCAAAAATACCCTTGATGTGATGTGTAAAAGTAAGATGTGATAGGTAGATTATTAGTAAAAAGGTATGATGTGATAGGTAGGGTATGAAAAAGTAATGGGTAAAAGGGGTTTTTTTAAGGGAAAAGAGAAGTTTATTTTGGGACAAAAAAAATGAAAGGGGAAGTTTATTTAGGGACGGAGGGAGTAATAAACAAGTAATAAACAAATATATTGACATGAACGTAAATTATATGCTTACTATCCTATCACGAATCTCCATAAGTGCAGGGTCCCTAACTTCTTGCTTCCTCTCCTGGGTATGACCTCTCAACAAAAAGTCCTCTCGTCCGAGCTCAAAACCCGTCTTGGTTGCCAAACTAGCGATATCGGCAGAAGTGGTGGCCTGCGAAGCGGCCACGTCACGCTGAAGCATGGCATATCCACATCGGCCCATAAAGTGCGGATAAGGATTCTTTCATAGTAGCTCCCTATTAGCCTTACCCAAGGCCTAAAAACAATTATTAAAAACTTTTTTTTAAAATAAATTGATTTGTCTGGTAATTTCATTCAAAGAACTTAATTATGTTTAACCTTAGCTTCTAGAGTCTCATTCTAGATCAGGAACACCTCCCAATGCTCTAACGCTATGTAGCTATAACGCATAAAGGGAGTCTCACTGTAATGATCTCCACCTTCCATCAAATAATGCCTTCGTAAATATGTCTTGAAGGTGCAAAATCTCTCCCTAGCAACCCTCATGACATGCTCAACACCACCGGGCGGTATTACATATATATCCTACAAGAATGTGTAGCGAAGAAGCATTCAAGGACACACCACTATATGTACTGTACTCTTCTCATCCTGACATTTTGTGTAGAAATAATAGCCATTCATGTAGTAACCCTTGTAAGAAGATACAGTTACCTACGGTCCCGTAGCTAATAACGATCGTGCATTTTCTATGACAAGATGAGGAGAATGTATTGTTTGCCAGCGAACATGGTCATGAAACCATTTTAGAAATATACGATTGTGTGTTGTGTTCTACACTTGGATTGCGCAATAGAAATATAAAATTTTTGTCCAAACCTAGATTCACCCAAGACCTCTTATGATCATTATAAGTTGTTAGAGATTATACCTTTCTTGGCGAACAAGTAACATTGTGTAGATGGGAGAGATTGGTCCAAGAGCTAGCCACAAAAGAATTATATTTTTAAAAATATTAATTTTAAATTTAAAATTAAAAAAGTAAAAGTGGGAGCATCAACCGGCTTCTTCTGTGGAGAAGTAGCCGGGCGCTCAGAAGAAGAGGAGGAGGAGGAGGAACCGGAGGTCTGTGACCGGGCACCAGAACCGTAAGAGTGAACGGAAGGGTTCTGGCTGTCCTCGTTATCAGACATGACTCATAGAAGAAGATGGAGGAAAGAGACTTACTTGGAACTAGAAGACTCGGAGGACTCAAGAAATAGTAGAAGCAACCAGGCCAATTTCTGATTGGTGATTTGCAAGTGAGAAAATTCAAGGGGGGACCTCGCCTTATATAGGAAAGGTGCCGCCCAGCTGAACGAGTAGCGGAGCGACACATGGCAGCTGAAATGATTCGTAATCATAACTTCTCGGGGAGACGAAACGGCGCAACAAATCGGCGGCGCCGTACCGGATTCCAATAAAAATTTCCCCGCGTCTGGTGCCTGGGATTTCAAAATTCAAAATTCAAATATATTTATTTTGGCGCTGGTTTGCCGAGGGCATTTTCCCGCCAAAAATGCCTGGGAGGTTCAAATTTGGAAAGATGCTCACTTATGCTTCCCGCCCCTGATGGTACCCACAAGGCCAGGAATCGGAGGACTCCTTGATGGGTAATAACCCATGGTTACCACCCGGTGGGTCCGATCGACCGGGAGGTACCAAATGTGACGCCGCCTGACCTAGTCAACCCGGTTGTCTAACGTGTCGGGAATGAGTAGATCTGAAACCGAAGACGTAGCTTCTTCTGACGAAGACATGCAAATAGACCGGTTAGTGAACTGACCGGCTGGATGATGTTAGACGTACTTGACGTGCTTAGGATTATTATAAATACCTTTAAAAGGCTCATTTGTTAGGCATGCTTTAATTAATCTGTACGGCTTGTATCTTGCAATAGTCCTATTATTATCAATAACAAACCAGGTTACAGATGTTTCCACCTACAGCCCTTCCAATCACTTATACTTAGTATTTGCACGGTAATTTACACCATCAGTAGAAATGAATATAGTAATTGAGGACTAAATTAGTAGTATTTTATATGTAGGGACTAAATATGTAAAATGACCAATAACTGGGTAGCTTTTATGGAATTTACTCTAATTTTTTCCTAATGAAAATGGGTGGAATACTGTATTGAATGTGGTAGAAGTGTAATAAATAAAGTAAATAAGGGTAGTTGTAATATTTTAAATATTAAAAAAGCAATGAAAATAGGACCGTGCTACACACCCCCACCCTTGCTACCAACCTTGCCTCCACCCATTTCTCCACCACATATTTATCTCTACCCATTCTCTATCCACCCTCTAATTTTAATTTTCTTGCCTCCCCACCACATGTTTATGTAGGGGGTGAAAGTTCTAAAGACAACCTCCGTACTCAGTAAACCCATAGTTATTATAACAGATTTACAATAACCAGAACTCAGGACACACACACACACGATGCTATAGCACTCTCTCTAACACAAAACAAAGTAAGGTGCAGAATAAAGTAAAGATGCAACACAGAGAAATTGTTTACGCAGTTCGGAAACTTTCCTACTCTGCGGGGCCCACATCTGTGTAACAGCCCTTCCACTAAATCACCGTAATGATTACACCTTCAATAACAAGAGACTCAATCTATTGTACTGACTCAACCAACTTACGGATGACTTTGATAACAAACTCTATTTGTATCATTCACTTCGGCTGATTACACCAACTTCATGCATCTGGATGTGTTACGACCCTTTTCCAGCACTTCATAGATCACCTGCTGGATAGCAGACCTTCCTGCTCTCTGAGACGTATTTTCTCCACTGCTCAAAACAGATTGTCAAAGATTAACAACCCATGAATCAGACTTTGATCTTGGTAATTCTATGTTGCACAGGATCTTTCTCTCTCTCTCTCTCCGGCCATCATTCATAAGCAACGCAGTGATATATATATACGTGGACAGCAACAAGAAACCCTAGTAGAGTCCTTCGCAATAACCATCAACATGTGGGATGACTTCTAGCACGATCTGGACAAGTATGAGCATATCCTTCATAAGTCCTAAACATGGCATGACGCTACAATCCCAAGCCAACTAAACAACCCATACCTACTATTTGTTTTTGTCATAAGGATAAGGCCAACTAATACAGATCAAAATATAATAACCCCAGGCTACCCAGACTCTTGGTACGGCATACATACTATACTATAGTAACTAACAATCTCCCCCTTTGGCCATCCTTTTGGACAAAAACAAATAAACTAGACTCTCTGGCCGTTGAACCTCTTCTCCCCCTTTTTTGTTCAAAAATATCCAAAGTGAAACAAGTGGGAAATAGAGAAGAGTAATATTCAATAGTTGAGCAAGAGAGGTACATGATATGAAACAAATCCTAAAGAGGGGCTTGAGAGTGTACCTACACCATGTTAGAGGAATATTTGCACTAGACCAGAGCATGGCAAATCGGGTAGATATCGAAAGGCACATAGATATAGAGACATGTCAAACCAGGATCAAAAGAACCAAGAAAAAAGTTGGTAAGTAGTCATAGCAGAAACAGTAAAGCATAATGTTTGAAACCAGAAACAGGGCAGAACAACCCAACCAAAACAATGTCAAACTTGGTGATTCAAAAGAGTTTAGAAATAGAGTGCCAGTTATGTGGACAGTTCATCTTCCTCTTCTTCATACTGAGAGCTCTCCCCCTGGGTAGATCCTTCCTCTGTTGCAGCACTGTCTGACACAATCTCTCTAAGCTAGGTGAGATGTTTGTGCTCCTCCAGATAAGTGCTGTTTGTTTTGTCAGTTATGTGCTCCTCCAGATAAGTGCTCCTCCAGAAATAGAGTGCCAGTTATGTGCTGTTTGTTTTGCCTGTATTATGGTCATCTCTTCCTGGTTTGCTTGTAGCTTGGCATCCAGATATTTGAGCACAGCGGACACTCCTTGCTTAGAAGAGCTTGGAGTGGACTCCATGTCATTGAAGTGATTGCGTTCAAAGTGCCTGTAGTCGACCTGCAGTAGTGGCTCTGGTGGCTCCTCCTTGTCAGCAGCAACTTTGACATATCCCTGGGAAACAAGCATCTGAAAGATTAGAACGGGGAAATTAGAACGGGGAAAGGGAGACCATTATCATTTTGCTTGTAGTTTCTTTTCCCAAATTCAGCAATCTGGGACACAATTAGCTTCCCGAGGTTGAGTGGGATGTCATTTTTGATCTTGTAGAGAAGCATCCCCATGGCCTTGGTGATAGTATTTGTATGTGTGGTAGCAAGCCAGTGACATGCTGCAACGCGTAAGAGAATGGAGTAGGAGCTGTTCAAGATAGATGAGGGGACTTTGTTTGAGGGGTGTTGACTATTCCTTGTACCATGTGTCAGTTCTCTCCACATAGTAGCTTCCCCTATGTGCACATCCTGTTCATCAAGTGTACCCAAGAATTCGTTCACTGCTGCAGGTGAGAAATCATAGTGCTTCCCTCGCACAAACACCTTCTCAAAATTCTCAGTACCAGGATTAACAAAACTCTCATTTATATTGCAGTAAAATTCACGGATAACTTGCTTGACATATGACCCAGGCAGGGTTACAGATTGCAATAGTTTTCTATCTTTCAACAGAGGCAAGAGATTGGTTTTCAAACTAAAATCATCAACATCAATATTCCGCTGGGGAATGATGTGCTTTTTCTCAATCAGATTCATAAATGACTTAGCATTTGAAGAGAGAAAAATAATATCAGGGGACTTTCCTGGAAGATTGTTCTGTTGTTTCTTCGTTCTTGTCTGAGGTGTCTTGGAGTTGGAGGTTTGCTTCTTGAGGCTGTTTTTGACCTTTTTGGAGGGGGGTGATGATGCTTCAGGTGTGTGGATTTCTGATGCCATTTTGCGTTTGGACCAGCGAACTGGATTGGGAACTGATACCTTGACTTTTTCTTTCTGATTCTTGGAGGAATTGACTGTGATGGCCGACGTATGGAATGGAACTTCTGAAATAGCCATCAAAGGTTCTTCATCCAACAAATCCAGAAACTCCTCGTCATCTCCACCAATTTCAGTCTGGCACGGTTCACTTGGTGTGGTTTTGCATGGCTCATCCTGTTGCTTGGAATCTGAACGATTTTTCTCATCTGCTTTGTCAATTTCATCTGGAGTAGATTGCATCCTTTGAGATTTCTCATCTGTCTTGTATTCCAAATAGAACACGGTTGGCAGATCCGGTTTAAGAGGTGCTTCATCAAGTTGTGCTTCGTGAGATCCTGCATGCGGAGGATTTGGCTTTGAGTTTTCATCTGGTAGAAGTGGTGACGATGCCCTATGGTCTTCTTCTGAGGAAATTTTGGTCTGCAGCTTTGCTCGAGCTTGTGCAAATTTCTTCAATAAAATTGCATTTCGCTTTTTGAGGGGATTCTTCAATCTCTGCGGCAGGGCTATTTTGGTTCGCACCATGTTTGCAGATTCAATTTTGATGATGCTAGGGTTTTTGAAAAAAAATGCAGACGAGGGGAAGGAGATTAGGTTGTGAGGAAGATGAAGGGTGTAATTTCTCTTAAAGCTGATAGGAGGATTTAAAATCTGTCTCTTCGAATCCAGTAGCGTGGCGTTAGGTGTAGAAAGGCGTGTTGCATGCCTGACTTATTTGTAGCCTTGCTCCACGTGTCCTTGATTTCCCCATTACCTTTAATTGTGGACTTCCTCCTTCATCTTTTTCTTTTACTGTTGTTTTTTTAGTAAGGTGCACACAAACCCAATTTGGATCTGAGTGTTTCAAATCTGTTTCCATCAAGTGCCTTAGTAAAAATATCTGCAAGCTGATCTTCAGTAGACACGTGTTCCAGGCTCACAATCTTACGTTCAACTAGTTCACGTATGAAATGATGTTTGATGTCAATATGTTTTGTGCGTGAGTGAAGTACTGGATTTTTTGATATACTGATGGCACTAGTATTGTCACAATACACTGGAATAGTGTCATGTTTGACTCCGTAGTCAGCTAGGATTGATTTCATCCATAATAGTTGTGCACAACAGCTGCCTGCAGCTATGTACTCAGCCTCTGCTGTAGACAGTGACACAGAGTTTTGCTTCTTGCTTAGCCAGGCCACTAGATTTCCTCCAAGAAAAAAACATCCTCCTGAAGTACTCTTCCTGTCATCTATATTTCCAGCCCAATCTGCATCACTAAATGCCATGAGTTCAGCCATTCCTCCTTTTGAGTACCAGAGATCCAAATTTTGTGTGCCTTTCACATATTTCAGTATCCTCTTGACTGCTTTGAGATGTGATTCTTTTGGATTTGCTTGATACCTCGCGCATACTCCTCCGCTGTAGCACAAATCTGGTCTGCTTGCTGTTAGATAGAGAAGACTACCTATGATCCCTCTGTACCTTGTTGCATCAACATCCTTCCCATTGTCGTCTCTGCTGATTTTTTCATGTGTTGGACATGGTGTCATTGCATTTTTACTGTCACTCATGTCGAACTTTTTCAGCATGTTTTGTGCATACTTGGTTTGTGATATAAAGATCCCTTCAGTTGTTTGTCTGATCTGAAGTCCCAAGAAGAATGTGAGCTCTCCTATCATGCTCATTTCAAACTCTTTCTCCATCACTTTGACGAATTCATCAGCTCGTGCCTTTGACGTTGACCCAAACACAATGTCATCCACGTATATCTTGTTAGAATAAGTGCCCTTCACTAGAGGGGGGGTGAATAGTGAGGCACGAGAATGTTTATAAATTTTCGCGGAATAAAAATCGTAGGGATAAAGTAAAGAACGTAAAAAGTAAAGAGCGTAAAAAAAGAATAAATAGAGCACACCAAGATTTATACTGGTTCACCACAACGTGTGGCTAGTCCAGTCTCCCGAGAGACTCTCTCGAGCTACACTACTTCCGTTAAGCTTACGGGTGCTTAACAAACCGTTACAACCTGAGAACTCGAGTCCCACGAGCCTCAATACACTTGCTCGGAGATACCGCACTCCAAGACTTCAACTCGAAGGAATATGCCCTTCCTTCGTACAACCAAGGGAACAAACCTCCCTTAAAGTGTTCACAACACTTAACCACTCAAGAACAAAAACTCTCTTAAAGAGTAGAATATGAGTAAACTAATTTAGATCAAGAACACACTCAATTCCTCAAGAAATGGCTCTAAAAAGCTATGTAAAAAGTTTATGGAATGAT